TATTGCTAATGAGAGAGGAGAAAAAAGGAAGAGAGAGAGAGAGAGACAGGAAGAGAGGGAGAAAAAAAAAACACAGATAAATTGAGAGAAAGAAAAGTAAATCGATTTTGAATTCATTAATCATTTCATGCATTTATTTCATTGATCTTATTATAATTTAATGATTTTTCATTCATTTTCAATAAATTAGAAAATTCTTTTCGATGCATTTGAATTATATTTCAAATTTATATTATATAGCGGAATTCTCACATTTCTTTTATTTTCGTCAATTTTTTTTTTTTTTTTTCTTTTTTAACTCTTTGGAAAAAAATAATCTTTTCTTGAATATATTAAATAAAAGGATAAAATCTAACATAGTTATTCTGCTACTGTTAATTTCAACACATTTCAATATTTTTCATATTCATTTTTACTTACTTATTTATTTTCCGATTTCTTTTTCATTTTTTTTTTCTCTCTCTCTCTCTCTCTTTTGTTTCTATTCTTCAACTTCTACTCACAGTATTTTGAATGAATTAGTGATGTGAACTTTTATTGACAAAAGTAGTAATTGATGAAGTGAATGAATTTTCTTTTTCTTTTTGATAAATTTATTGATGCATAATAATTTCTTGAGTTTTTGAAAATTAAATTTCAACAAAATTTGAATAGAATTCAAGGCACTCAATAATTCTCAAAATTCTACTTTTTTTTCTTAAATTTTAACAAATTTTGTTCGTTCATCTAGAAATTTTGAATATTTGAAGCATTTTCACAACAAAATCTTCATTTAATTATCAATCTAATGATAAATAGCAATAATGTCTTACTAAGTTCTGTTTACATTCAGATTTAAATTTTACAAGTTTGAATTTTTAGCAGATCGATTAGCGAATAGTAGTGGTAGTAATTCTCTTTCTACATATCTTTCCTTTTTCCCATTAAAATTCATTTTCATTTCTTTGTTTTTATTACTTGGTTAATATTTGCTCCTCGAGATGCATTTCACCCATTTCTCATTAATGACCATTGGTAATAATGATAATCAAATTGATAAATGACCAATAGGTAATAGTAAAACCGAAGGTAATTGAATTTATATGCGAAAAGCCTTTAATTTCTTAAATCTTTCTTATCATAATGAAGGATTAGAGGTATTTCTCGAAACAATGATATGAGGTTGTGACCAGAAGAGATTTTGGCGTAAACGATGAAGGAAGGAAAATGAGCATTCAAAATTGTGGAATAAATAATTTTGCTATTCATTATCTAATTTAGCACATTTATCTCTAAGCATTATGTAATAAAGCCTTCCAGGAGTATTTATGGTTCAAGTAAAAAGTAAGTTTCACAAAGTATTATAACTCCAAATGCATGTGGAGCTCATATGCCATCGTTTGGCTTGTTCGTTACTGTCTGCTTATTATGACTCATCGAACTATTAAATCACATCAAACTATTAAACTGTTAAGAAAAATTTGTTCATTGTGTGATAACAGCAGTGATAGGAGATAAAATGAAAATAAAGATATGTCACTTATTACCATAAGCACACTTTAGTTATTTCGCAGTAATAAAAAAGATATCCAATTCTAAACAGAAATAATGTAATGTTCACTTCATTATAATACAATGTTAACTTCAATAAGAAAACTTTTATTTATTCAAAATTGAATGACAAAAGTAGTCTTTTTGTTTTCGTTTCCTTTGCATTTTACAAAGAACCTGAATTGAAACAAAGAAGAATTGTTTACCAGTTGAAGAAAACAGCCAGAAAATTCAAAATATTTGAACCATCTTTTAAGGAACTATAATAGTTCTCCTTGGCTATCAGAACAAAATCACAAGCCGTCAAAACACTAAAGTTATATGAGAAATACCTTATTTAACAAGAGTTTAAAGACTTCAGCTTGTTTCTACTGACAATTCTGAATTATCAAATAAGTTTTTAAGCTGCATCCGAAGTAGGCACGAAGTCATAAATGTCTTTAAATGACAAGCTTGAATTTGAAGAAATCGAAGTTATGAGCTAAAAAGAAATTCATTTCTCAAGTTATTTACCTTAACAAAGAACCAGAAAAAATGCCAAATAAAAATCGATGTTAATTAATCCTATAGAAGTCTTCAAAATCAATAGTAGTAGCGACCTCATTTCATGCAAATGTCAACAGAATAGCATATGAATATAATGCAAACAGGAATAATTCAAAAGTTTTCTAATTAATACATATGCTCCGCATTGTTATTTCTTGGCATTTTGATTTTCTCGAAATTTTTTGTAATCATATCATGCAATGTAGCAAAGTGATTGCGCATTTCGGTTAGTACAAGACGAATATTGATGAACTGCTTTTCATCCATATCCAAAATGGCTCGACGATAATCTTCCTGAATAGAATTTTATGGATTTTTCCTCTTGGAAAACATAAGAACGAACAAAGATAAGCTTCAAATATCATCCTTGATAGCTTGTACACAGCGCATACATAACCATTGCAAATTTCAAATTTTACGTATATTTTAAGTATAACTCAAGCATAACTTACAACATGTGGATACTTGGCTACTTTAGTTACCAGACGAGCACGGCTAACGAAATACCGAGACATCTGGTCAAGAAATGATGCTGCTTCAGCTTCTACAGTACGCACCTGAGAAATTCAAATTTCAATTGTATTCAAGTTTCATGTATATTTCGACTGACCATAAACCTTAGAATTTAATGAAATGGCTCAAAATTTACCATACATGCAATGAACGATGATGGAACAGGAAAAAAAAATGCTTGGATTTCAAAAATTGAAATTCTAAGAAAGAGGACCTCACTCAGAGTTTCTTCCTGTATAGATACCCCAAAATTGTTGCCATCTTCAATACGTGGAATCAAAAACAAGATCCACATTTTTACCTGAAAAATGTCACATTTATTTAACAAAAATTTTCAGATTATAATGCTGCTTGACTATAAAAAAGTAAAAGCCAAACTGCTGAAAATCTAAAACTTTATCATTATATGGCAAAAAAAAGAAAAATAACAAATCTAAAGTGAACCTTGTTGACCGCTTCAACTGAATCACGAAGTAAAGGCCGTGTGATATCGGTGAGACCAGCAAGCTTTTCGTTACATTTAACAGTCCCGCTTATAAAACCATAGACTGAAGTGCCTGAAAACGTGTATCCTTTTATTATGTATTAATTATACGGCACAAAGTGTCCTTTCAGTTAAATAATCTTTTTTATTATTAATTTTGAAAATTACTGAATTTGGTCAAACAAATGCTTTGACCAGCACTTCTTAGTGATTGCTAAAATCATGAAGTACTAGGCCTAATGAGTGAAAGAAAAATATTGCTTTATCAGCCTGGTCAATAAAAGCACTAATAAATAATGAAGATTCCGAAACACTCAATCTCCTATGACCAGTAGCTGTCATCAAAGTGCTAAGAGGTATAAGTGCACCAATAAATATACAAAATACAAATTAATGATAACCATGAAAAGATTGAATATTGGCATCAATTTTCCTCTTTTTTTTCAGAATCCTATCATCATTTTCATGTTCAGTTGAGTCATTCTGCAAAATATTATTTTTAACAAATCCAATTAAAAAAAAGAGAGAATTTTCAAAAATATAATAATAACAACAATAATTTCAAATCCAAGAACTACCTGAAATTCAGTTAGTTGTTCTGAGTATGGAATTCCTAAATCAATATTCGGCAAAACTTCTGGAAGTCGCTCATACGAGAACTGCTCGTCCTGAAAAAGATAATCAGAAATAATCAAAATAAGTAGATATGTTAAAATAAGATATTCCAACCAAGTAGTATAACATCCAGGATTAAGAAAAAAAAAGAACTGTGAAAATCAACTAGTGAACAGAAACAGCAAATTTTACAGGTCTCTTATGCTAATTTAATTCAAGTTCAAAGATAAATAACAAGTATACTTGGAGAGAAACCAACCTCAAGTAGGTTATTAAACTCCAGTACCTTCTTCGGGAATTCTTCTAGTACAATTTTTTCCGCTTGTTTCATTAAATTTGTTTTATAAGCATCAAGCTGAAACTAAATTGAGAATAAGCTTTCGAAAGAGAAGATCATGGAGAACTGAATCCCTCTTTATTACTCACCACTTACTCCTACTCCAAGTTAAATTTATATGGTAATTGTTTACTTTGCGTTCCAATTGCGCTCAGCAGCTCATATTGTTAGTAAAACAAATTGCACTGGGATGACAATTTTCAATTCGATGCTTTTATTTGAATCTCATTTTCATCTTCATGATATCGAAATGATTTATTATTTACCAATTCAATTTAAACTTACACCACGAGCAGCTGCACTTTTCTGCTTTTTTTCAGACAACATCATGCAGCAAAGCCTAAAAATTGAACAAATGAAGTTCTTAAATCCAAAAGGACAAATAAAACTATCACACAACACGAGGCCAAAGAATGAGGAAATATTGAAACTCTTCCTTAATATATTTTCTACAAAACTGTTTATGAAAAGATTCTCCCAAATTACAAAAAAAAAAAAAAAAAAGTCCTCTCACAACTACGCAAGAAAACAAAGCAAAACAAACTGGAATATTTGGTCTACTAACCAGGCGCAAACGGATAAACAGATCAAAGGATTTCAGATATTTATTAATTTTTTAACTCATAATATATGTCAAATTTCCAGTGTACCCCATTTAAATTTTTAATATTAAGTGAAATAAAAAATCATCCTGATAAAGATCAACTCTGTCACTTAAGAAAATAACAATGTAAAATCATACGCCTGAATCCAAAAAATGTACAGCAGTGTATACGGAGATGAATTCTCAGTGATTAAAACGAAAAAGAAAGTTACAGGAAGAGGAAATATACATTTGAAGATCAAATCATCAAGACAGCTTCATCAACATATAAACAATATAACTGTAATTCCCTTTAACCTTACTGTTTAAGTCATCAAAAAGACAAATATAATTAAATAGAAACAGCAGAAATATTATCATGAGGAAAACTACTAAGGCTGTTTGAATTTGAAAATATCGATGCTGGTCTCGTGACATTTCCTTAGGTTTAAATCACACGAACCAATTTCACAATGTCCTACACTTTGGAAATAATTTAATCCACGTCCAATTTTTACCACCCAGCCATTGCTGAATCTAAAAACAAACTGTTAATCCTCAGCGAACAAAACAATATACAAAAAATGAATATGCAGATGAGAAAAAAAAAAAAACCTTCAGCTTAATGATATAAATCAGATTCGCATTTTGTATTATCCTAAAAATCTGGAGTATGAGAATATGCCTTCAAATGAAACCTGCCTGACTTCTCGGTCATGAAAATTCTCATCGTAACAAACATCCAACTCGATATCACGGCACGCTAAACTACCCTTCAGCTGTTGCAGTAAACCTTCTGCTCTGACATCGTAATGTGTCCAAAGACGTATTGTTTTTAGATTTGGTGCATGAAGAACAAACAATTCACAGAATCGCACGAAATTCAAGACCGGAAATAAATTTTCAACTTTTTCAAATTAGGATAATCTTTAACTGGTTAAACTTTAACTCTATTTCTCAAACTAAGTTTATCCAAATTTGATTTTTTAACTCTACCCTCCATCTATTGCCACTTCGTCTAAGTCTCATTAAACATACTTGATATGGCAGTATAATATAGGCATCTCGAACATTGATTTCTGTGAGATCATTGTCCGCGCATCGTTTGAAAATTCTTTCATACCCGAAGCCAGTCTGCAGATCAGCAACCCGTTCTTCACAAAATCAAATAAAAAATTTACGATCCAACAAATACAACTTTCTTCCCGGCACCCGAGCAAAAGCAATCCTCAGGTCCAAGTAGCGAGCAAAACTTGATAACAAAATACATATTTTAAGCAAAATACGGATAATCAAATCTGGTAATTATGTATTATTAACTATGAATGTGCAAACTACAAATCTGTTCACGAAAGTTTGTAAACTAGAAATCTAGTATTTTTTCTGATAACTCGAAAAATAGCTACGTAAATTTCGAACGATAAAATTTTATGCTTAACTAATACACTTCAGAAAGTTAAGCCATACATCGTTATGCATGATATGTATCTGCTGCACTAAGAGTATTTCTGGCTTCATTTGTCCTTTTAGTATCTCTGCTCTAGTCAAATATTTTGATATTCTTTCCCGTAGAACCTCTCTGGCACTTTCCACTGTATCATCACCTAAAATGAACGGTATCATCTAATCTTCCTATCAATTACATTAACATTAAAATTGAAATAAAAGTTTCGCTTCAGAAATATAAAATTAATAACCCGTAAATGTTAATGAAGTTTTTTGAGAAACAATGCTTCCGAAATTCCGACCTCGATCAATTTTCATTTAAGCTGCCAATATATTTTTTTTTTTCAGAAATCAAAAAAACCCTTGAATTTAATCAGTTCATCAGTGAGAGGAAAAATTAACTTACATGACAAAGCCCCAAGCAATAAAGTGATACCCTCTGTATAATTTTCGACCGCTTCATCTTTTTTGTTGTCTCGATCAAGGGCAACTGCTTTTTGTAAGATTGGTTTACTTTTGTCAATAAAAGATTGCATGATCAATAATTCTGCCAATTTCCATTTGTTGTTCCTTCAAATATCTTCATGCTAAATAGAAACTTTCGTTAGTTAATGAAGAGTTACACAAAGGGCAGATCAAAAGACTTGCCAGGAATTTACCACTTTAACCACAAAACATGTAACATAAGACTGTTGAGAAAATACCACACTTAAACATGCAATGTAAGGAAGGGAAAACTAAAGCATGGAGAGAGAAACTTGCATTATACAATGTGCCGTAAATTTTATTCTGAATATTTTTAATTTAAAAAAAAGACATTCCCTCTCAATTATTAGTTGTCATCATTATTATATTTACAATGTCTAGCAAATCCTTTTCATCTCTTCAATTTAAATGTCTTTTATATACCATTACATAAATGGCTGTGCATGCAAAACATTATCAATCCATAATAGTTTCACATTCTAACATGTTTTATTCGCCACTATCTAATCCAATATTATTCTCTTTCTCTATCCATTTTTTTCAAAACAATTTCAGCTTCATTTCGCAAATTATTTGTGAGTAATAAATGAGAAATTAAAGAAATGAGAAGATGACGAAATAGGAAAGATGCATGTAACATTTCAATAATAATAAAATCATCTGACTTTTCTTAATCTACCATTTATATGTACTTTTCCTTACGTTTATCCACGTGTTGCTTACGTAGAACTCATTTGCTACATATAAATAAACTTATCGTACGAGAAACTTAATTATCAAACGATAAATCGCTCAACCCGAACCCGCCACTTTCATTCTACAATAACTCGCCGCAATTGAAGTCTCTTTAAGTGACAATAATAGACACTTTAGCTGGGACGCTTTGAAAATTATTATCCTGAGAATTGCTTGGTTTTTGAACAGTGAGATATTAATTAGCTAATGGCCATTTTATTACCTGATCTTAGGAGTCACCTGATCTCAGGAGTAATCTAGTGATGATATTATTAATTTAATATTTGCTAAGTTAAAAAGGAAATTGAACTTTCTTTTGAAAAGGCTTATTAATATTATATGAGCTGCAGTATTTAATTGCTTTGAGCTATTTGTAAATTTCATTTCTGAGTTTGTTGATTTCAGATTACATATAGCTTTCTACATTTGTTTCCTTTCTTTTTCCTCTTAATTTTTTATCTCAATATTACTTTTGTCTTTTGGTTATCGGCTAAAATCAGATAACATTACATTTTTTTCTGCTTATTTTTTTTTTTTTATCCTTGTTTTTATTTATTTTTTTTTCTCAGGATTTCATCACACATTCCAAATTTTCATTTATTATTCTGTAGAATAAAATATTCGCATCTATTTGTCATTACTCTCAATCTATAACCGACTGTTGAAATCTTCACCATGACAACGTTACTGGTGTTTATGTGTTATCATCATTTTGAACCAATTTGATGAATCTGTTTTATTATAGTGTTCTGTTAACACTCATCCTTAAGCTGTGTACAAGTTTCCTGAATTTTCCGAGCGATAATATCCGTAGGTAAGTGCTAAAGGAAAACATTTACCCTTAAAAAGTATTAGTTTTACTTAGGAATGAGTTTTAGAAAACGATTTTTTCAAATGCATTTCCATCGTAAGAAATATGGTCTTTAATTGTCAGTTCTCTATGAAAATATATTAGAATATCTAAAGAAATGTTAAATATACTTAAAGCTAATTCTTTTTTTCTTTCTCTTATTTATAGGTTACGAATATTGGATGTTATCGGTGGTTATCCAAGTTTTTTTGGTGCAATTTACGTTCATAATGATCCTAGCTATGACGTTCTGAGTCGTACTGAGATAAAATCAAGTCGATTTATGCCACTTTCAACAGTTTTACATTTTACTATTAAGTAAACTTTCAAAGCCTAAATGTTGAACAAAGTATTTAATTTGAAAGATAGTAAACTACTTTTTAACTTCTCATAAAATTATTTCTACGTTTTTTTGTTTTTGACTTTTTTTTTTGACGTTTGTTTGTTTTATCGGATCAAAAGATGTTATTTCTGGAAAACGTTTAATCGTCTTTTGATCTCATAATTCTAACTCTAGAATTAGCTAGCAAATAGGTGAAATAGAAAAGGAAAGATTTGTTGATAAAATGAAATGAAAAAGAATGCATATTTCTTTTCTTCAGAAATGTTGGCTGTTTGAATTCAGCTTCTGTGAGTTCGGGATGTGAAGTGATATGCTCAAAGTATGGTTTTTTTTTTTTTTTATGAGTTAACTGTGAAAGCTGGAGTATCTGCTTATTTTGTCTCTAAGCATTGAAATTTCGCTGTGAAATCCGTTTTTTTGAACTATTTCCATCAAATTATGTCTTAATTTTCATCATCTAATTCCAGTCACATTTATATTTATTAGCAGAGATTTATGTGTTTGCTATTGTGAACTCTTCAGGTGATGTCATTGGTATATGCAAATATCTAGTACTTCTTTTTAAAACTTTGGAACTGCAGGCCAACTTATACAACTGTGTATTGTATGATTAATTGTATAGAAATGGATTCTTATCATGAATATAATAAATTTCAGGAACGATCCAAACTGTACGATAGAGCAAACTGTAAGTCATTACTATGCTCCTTTTCTTTTTTTACACTAAAACTTTATCAATAGTGCAGCCACCTACTGCATTCTAAAGCATCAGTTTTTAGAAGTAGTTGCGTACGCTCATTGAAGCATTTAACAAGACTTGACGATTAATTAATTAATAGATGCTTAACATTATAAGTATCACCAATCAATTAATCATCAAGTTTTACTTGTCATTTTACTGTTTTTGTAATTAAAAGCGGAGGCAGCTAATTTAGCAATCCAAATTTTCTTGTTTAATTACTGGGACTAAAAGGGAAACTTATTAAAGGCAACGTTCGAGAAAGAAACTATCGGTAGTTATGTTTTCGGCGATGAAGTACGTATCAGTGGCCAACTATCACTCTTAAGGCCAGGTATTTTTAAATGTGAATGTGGATGATGTTTATTATTTGATACTCTTTACGGTTCTTTTGAAATCCTTTTTGAGTGTTTCACAAGCAGTTTTGTGGTAATTTTTCAGCAGTTATTTGATAAGGAAACCTTAACAACTTTAGATACCAATGGGCTTTGCACGCACATATATGAACAACCAATGAAGTATAAAGTAAATTATACAGCTAGTTGCCGATGGCATTTCCATACAGAAAAGGTTGCATTTTCATTATTCTCAGGATAACATTTTACATTATTGCTTCCGATGGCTATGAAAAATACAAGTTCAGGGTTGTGATGTCAATAATCTCGTAGAATTTCTTTCGAATCAAATGAATGGTACCGAAGTATGTGATCAAACCGGTGATCAGTGCGTCGTGCCAATCTTAATGTGAGGAATAATTAATTATTCACTAATCGTAATGGCAGTAATTAAATGTCTAACTACTTCGTTCATACTTATCCGCTCACAAATATTCAACGGAAGCACCTTATAGGATGTAGAAGTTGTTAAATTAATTGTACTAGAAATTTCAAGTGAATTTGGATGATCCTTTTGCGTGTTCGCATCTCGTATTTGAGAATTTTTATTGAGCTTTCAGAGATATGGTTACTGCATCAAGTGATCAAAAATGTGATAATTACTCTCTAATGAGTGTTCGTTTAGCTACTCAGAAAGGATCGATTCTGGGAGCACTAGTCGAGTGGGTTGTTTTTATTTACATATCATACCGAATGTAGATCAGTTCTTCTAGGAATGTTACTGACTGATCGATTTACCGTCATAATTAACCTTTTAAGCTACTACGAGTTCTTAAGGAATTTATTTCAGCATTACTTCTGACAGAAATTTTGATGAACATTTGGGAGAATATGAAATCTTTATTTAAAGGAAAAAATATTACCTATAACAGTTGTAGATTGGTAGGTGTCATTGTTAGCTTTCTCAAATTTTTTTGCACTGAATTACGGCTCTTGTCTTGTCTGTCTTTTTGCTAACACATTAATGCTTTTAACTCATTGAATAACTTGACTCATTCGAGTCATTGAATCTATTTCGCCGTTGATCCTACAATCTGAATGCTTCTCGACGTCGACACTATAAGTTTGTAATTCTATTACTCATCTACATCACCAAATTAATCGATTCAGAATAAATAAAAAAGAGAAAGCATAAAAAAGCTCCTTCTTATACTATTTTTCCCTTTTTTGGTCCAGTTGTTTTTAATCGTTGTAACCTTTGACTTCTATTTTCTTTTGTCGAAGCTACTTAATATTGTTTTCCGTTGTCTAGTTGACTCTCTATTTTACCAAGCTGTTTAATGGCTGCAGTCTGTTCTTTTGAAACCTCACTTTTTAGTACTTTTCTACTTAAAGTTATTATTTTTATGTAGTTTTTAGATTCCTACCATCTTCGAACAAGTGTCGTGAGAACTACTGCATTCTGACAACAAAAATATCATTCGAAGAGGTTACGCAACGATTCTTGGACAAAATGAAAATGTCGAGGTAATTAATATACCCAGTATGAAAATGGCAAGATTAATGTAGAGAAAATATCAAGTAACGATCTTAGAATAAAAATGATAATATAGACAACTTAGTAAATACACTGCAGCTTGATTTTTAGCACATGCAAAATTCACTCTAGTGTTTCAGCCCCGATAATCAGCATTTTTGCAGATATGAGAATAGTGAAGGTCGTTTCCGATGTCCATCCGAAATAACATGCCCAGCTGAATTATTTTATTTCTTGAATACTTTTGATGTTGGAGAATTTTCAACACAATTTTTCGTACTAATACCGCTCTTTATGCTACTTTTATTCCATATGTCATAGAAAGATATTGAGACTATATCTGAAGTTTCTTGCACTACTATTAACAAGTATAAATATGTAATCATAAAGAAATTTACAAAATATGGTTCAAAAATGCTTAAACATGCAGTTCCTTTTTCCAGAGAAAACCAAGATTATTTTGAGACAAAAATAATTATGAAAGTGATTAATTTAACCACGTAACTTCCTGTGAATTCTTTTCTTTTACCAATGATAATTACTGAATCGGAAATGAAAAAAAAAAAAAAAAAAAGAAGTTCCCATAACGTACAATGCAATTGTTTATAATATTTCTCTTTTCACCTACTTCGATTGTTTGTTCACACTATGATTTACTGAGGCATTTGTTCGATCACTCCACGTATTTTTACTTTTTTTTTGTGCTTTTCGACGTTGATCTCGTACGAACTGAAAAGAAAATGAAGGCGATCAAAAATGTTAAGAGATAATTACCTAACATTCCTGACAAATTTCTGAAGTTTATAATTATGACTTTTTGAATATCACTTCTTGAATACTCATTTTAAACATCGATTTTGCATATAATATTCTATAAAGGATCTGCATCTAACGCTTCCTATCTGTGTGTGAAGTCGACTTGAATGTCATGTCAAATATTTTCGAGCACCCAACTTTCTAGTATCACTCTGACAAACTGCATTTCCATCTTCCCAAGAAATTACACCATAACCTATCTCTACTCTAGTGGTAATATCAGTGAACTAACCCTTTTAATTCCTAAGCGTATTTTGCTCCATTTTGGTTGTATTTCTTCCATTGTTCGAGTTCTGCGAAAACTTTTGGCTAATTTTGCAACTCTATTATCTGTTTCATCGATAAAAAATTCAATTTTGAAATTAGCATTCGTATCCATCCCCTAAAAAAGTGGGTGAAATTACTGAATTCAGTACTCCAACAAATAAATAGGAAGATGAAATTGGAGAAGGAAAAAAACTGAAATTAGAAAAGCATGAACCATATTCACCATATATGACATTGCCGGAAATCTTTAAAAGGTCAACCGGACCAGTCAGCAAAGAAAAAAGCGAACTGGCACGAGCTGTGAGACCTTTTGGTCGCTTATTTCAATTTTGCTATCAAATGCGATAATATGTAGAATTGAAAGATAGCATGAGCAAGTGTTAACGACAGAGAAGACATAGAAAACAGGATAATCAGGAATTAACCATACGAAAATAGTATATAATTTATGGGATGCTAAGGTGAAAATATTTGAAAAGATGGAGTAAATTTGTGATTATTTCTAATTTCTTATTGAAAAAATTAAAAATTCAGAATAGTAGAAGTAAAATTTTAGAAGAGACATTAGAGAATGAGGGTGATGAGAAATAATGGATAGTTTGACAATGGAGTTAGGATGAGGGAGATGTTTCCACCTTAATCATTTATATGGATTGCTTGGTGACAAATGACAGAATGGAAGTTGGCTGCTAAGTGATATTTAATGTCATTTAATATGATACACATTATATAATATACGTTAGACATGCATATGTTTCACGTATTACACGTGAAGAGGATGTTACTTTTTTGGACATAATAAATTTACTCTTTATGAAGTTTATATAATGTGATGAAATAGCGGATTATGATGTAACTTTTCCTATTAATTTAAATCATCCTACTTTTTCTTTTATTTTACTTGCTATTATTATCGTATGTGCAGGTTTCATACTGAGATTATAATAAGGATATGTCTTATTGATATGCTTATTAATAAAGATGAGATGAGTACACGGTGGATTTTTTCTTTTTGATCTAGTAAATTTTGGATTTTGATATTACCCAATTTTGTAGTAGAAAACAGATGATGAACTGCTTATCATCTTTATGTTCTTCTTTTGTAGGTAATCATACAATGTTGAACCTTCAAAAACGGATCAATGGTGTAGATGAGGAAAAAACATATTTGGGTACGCGCATATCAATTCGCGACAAATTATTGTCGCAAGGTCTGTGTTTCTTTATCATTACCGTGTAAGATATATATTTATTTATTTGTTTATTTTTTTATTTGTATTTGTATTTATATACTTGCACTGTAAACATATTTTGTCTTATATTTAAAAAAAACCCACACTTTCATGTTTAGTTGATCTATGCGAACCTACCGAGCAAATGAATATCTTGAAAAAGTTTACAATTTCTTAGTGTTATGAGATACTAGTCGTTGCATCTTTTTAAATATATTTTTCTGTTGGTTTGATGTGTATGATTAAACTATGTTTGTTCTTATCACGTGGAAGTCTTATTGACGATTGCCTTAATATTAAACTAATAGATGAATGCATCACTTTGACTTTTTTTGATGTTTTTGTAGAAACTTCTTTCCAGAAATCAAAGAGCTTGAATCAAGTCTAAAAAAAGTGCCTTCTTGTAAGTTGCATTTTCCATCAACATCTGCATTACATAATATGGAACTCACCGTTTCACCAGTTGAAGGAATTTATAAAGTATGTCGTTTCTAGCTTTGAATGATATGGTACTTAAGTAATGTCTGAAAATTCATTGTGTCTTCCGTAGTTTCAGTTGTGAGCTGTGGGGACGAGATGGATTTTTTACGAGGCGTGATTCGGATTATAAAGGAAAACTATTTGTCTATAAGCAAAAAAGTGACTTTACTGCTGATTATTAGACATTTTGCTGAACTGTTTGACAGAATTGTTGGATTTTTAATTCATTTTTTTTTTAATTGATAAAGTTTGCAATTGTATATGCAGTTAAATGTACTTAATAATTAAGCACAATTTCAGGGTGGAATATTCAAATTTACTATAGCAGTACCACCTGAATACAACAATGTACCACCTGTGGTAAAATGTTTAACACGCGTGTGGCATCCAAACATAACTGAGGAAGGCTCTATATGCTTGTCATTATTGCGACAAAATAGTCTTGATGGTTATGGTATGTATCAAAATTCTGACGTAAACATAGTGTAAAACTTGATAACATGTAATTGATGAATAAAAGATTGTTATTCAATGATATACTATCGTTCAATCGATAGAAATTAAACATGACAATTTGTGCCAATTTTTTACTTTTGTGTTTGAGTGAATATTGTCCTCAGAATGGAGAGCTGCTGAATATGGTAGTGCATTTCTCTTAAGAGATTTTTTTTTCTTGATTTTAGGATGGATGCCAACTCGTAGATTAATTGATGTTGTACTTGGTCTGGATAGTCTTTTCACTGATCTGATCGACTTTGATGATGCCCTCAATGCAACAGCCGCTCAGCAGTGGTCCACCAATAAGGTGACTTCATTTCTGTAACATTTTTCCAGAATTCCATCTCAAAAATTTAGTTAAATCTAAATACAATATTCTTGTTTCATTAAAAAAGACTATTTATAATGATGTGATATTGATATGAGTCGAAAATGAACTTTAAATTGCTAAAGGGAATTCTGAATCATTAGTATGATTTGCATGTTTTTAAAGCCTATAGTAATTAATTTTATCTTAAGCATAATGCTGCGGTCGATAGAGTCGAAACTTACTTTGCAGAATTCATATCTTTTTTTCAAATATACTTTGTGTATAGTGATTGTCTGTTACTCTTTATTTTGAACTATTTTTATATCCTATGCTATAAATTCTGCTCCTAATAATGAGGTAAGAACCTGAAGAAACTTTCTTTTCCTAGCATAAAAATTTTTATGCCAAACATTATATTTTGTAAGTTATTGATCTGAATAATGGCGTCATATTTCACTTCATTTGATACGAAGTTCCAATCACATGAAGCAATTTTCTTTCTGTACATCATCCAATGTTCATCATTATTTGCACCGTAAAATTACGTCGGCTTTTTTTGCCTAAATTATTCTATTTCAGGAAGCATACATTGCGAAAGTACGCGATTACATCGTGCGTTTTTGTCGGTGAAAAAATAATGAAAAACGGATTTTATACAAATTTAAAAGAAAACGTGATAATAATTGTGTTTTAGCACTGTAATATGATAATCAATCAAAACGAAAACTTTTTTTACAATGAATTTGAAATTTCGTATCCTATGATATTGTGTGTCGTATCAACGTTATAACTCCATTTATGTTTGTGTACTTTAATATTTTGTAGTTGGTATCAAAATCTTGAGCATTTTGGATAATATTTAATGAATAATTGATTAAGTTAATAATGATTGACAGATGTTTGTAATACATTTATATTGGCTTGGTTTTACTTTTTTTGCCAAAACGAGGTTTCATGTGATAGAAGACTTAAGACGACTGCCGTGTGGTTTTCGTTCAATATTCTTCAGGCGAAGGATATTATCATTGATGTCTTTCAGAATGCAAATTTCTTCTTTTTTTGCTTTGGGCTAATTTGATGTCTCTAGTACAGAACATTTATTTGGACCGTAAACTTGATGTTTAAATAAAAGATCACATTTTTACGGCAGCGTTGAATGCTTGACGCGCAGCTGCTATCTGCAGAAAATTGTTGCGCTGATAACTGAATAATGCTACCGTCAATCGTGTGAATTTAGTTAAGCTTGCATAGTTTTTGTTGCGATTTTACAATTAAGATTTGTTAGTAAATTTAGTACTATACAAATACGCATTAAAAAAATAAAATTTGTCTTTGTCATTGGTAGTTTGATTACAATTTTTTTTTTGTTTTTTTTACATGTGTGCACATCTGGGGAGAAGACTTTACATAATAGTCTCAGTTAGTTTCATTCTTAGAAAATTCTGGTCAGTGCGAATCATCGCTTTGAACAGGAGGTATTGGGTATATTATTTAGTGCTGCTTATTTTGAGAATGTATCAGGTGGTTTTCTGGAATTCAGTTCAATGCCTGAGTTCACATTATCATTATTTACATATTTTTAAAGTATGATTCTGAAGTTTATCCTTTCTTTATCTTAGTTTATTTAAGTTATCTGCTACCGATGGCATGATAACTGTTAGTTTTGTATGTAAGGTAGACAAAAGACAAATAGTAAATGTAATGTTATAACTTTCATCAGTCATAATTTTTTTTTTTTTCGCTTAAGCACATTGAGATAATCGATATCTTAAATTTTCCGGAGTGGATATTTCCTCATTTGCTAGAAAGTAAAATATTTGTTGAAGTTGCTCCAAATGAAGTAATGGATCATCAAATAGTGGTGGCATTTCTGCTTATTCTTTTATCACTAAGAATCTATGGCAAATCGGAATGCATGCAAATTATTGGTACTCTTGTTTGTCCTCAAAAATCTATGCTAGCAGGAAATGTGCAAATTGATTTGAAGGACGAAGATTGTAAGTTTTTCGATTGCAATGTATTTATTTTATATATTAAGATATTTAATTATTATAAATACTGTATTAAAAACAGAAGAAATAGGTTGCAGATCAATTATTAAGAAATTTTTGTAGGGAAATTACAATCAGTGATCAGGTGCAATTTGATAAGTTTGATGTCGTATTATTAACTGTAGTATAAAGCATTCAGAAATTGAAGTCCACAGAACATTAGCGACGATCATCAGGGAATAGTTAATGTCTTTAATTTTTTTGAAGTCTGAATAGCTAGTAATTATTTTAACAATTAGTTTGCTTTTCCTGCCCTTGTTTTGCAATATTTCTCACTTAGCATTCTTAAATCACTACGTAATTTTATGAAGTCTCGAAAATTTGAATTATTGTTGAAATTACACTAATAATTAATTTTACTACAAATAATATTATAGCTATGTGCTTTTACAGCACTGCCATGGGAAAGCCACGATCAGATGGGTCGAACTTGGTCTCATGCTGATGGTTCATTTATGATTTCTGGATGTGGGGCTGATTTTGGTCCATTCAATGAACCAGATCCATATATTATTATTGAACATAAATGCCCCAGTGTTTTAAGGTCAACAATAGGAAATATTGGTTCAACAAGAAAAACGCAATTTGCGTTAACTAAAGTATTTATGCCAAAAATCTTAAATATTGGTAAAATTTTTCTGGATGATTCGGATTTGTAGATGTTGGGATATACTGCACGTAGCAACTATTGTTCTTTCTAAATTGCTAATTAAACCTTTTTTTGACTACACAAAAGATAGTTAGTACCAAAATTCTTGAACAAGAAAATAAAAAAGTGTAGTGAAAAGGGAAATTTAGAAAGGTGTAAGGAAAAGAAAACAAGGGGTTTGTCTTTTATTTTATTTATTACAGAATACTTTGTGATATGCTACACTTTTCACTCACTGTCATAATTTGTTCTTATTTTTTCCTTATTTATTTCGAAATACATCTGGATTACAAATATTATGATGAAGTATATATGCCTTTCTAGCTTGTTTATACATATTTTTTAATAATCGTTTTGTTAACTTATTTGTTGTATAACCATACTCATTGCCATAACTTTGTTACCACTTTCTCCATATTTATTTCGAAAATTTCTTTTGTAATATTAAATAAATATGGAATTCAAGTTCTTCTATTTGTATAACATTTGAAACAAGAACTCATGCAGAATTCATGAACAAGTTGTCTTATCTTTATGTCCGCTTCTATTAATAATAGAAGAAAGAAGGAAGAATGCTAAGAATAATTTTTTTGATTGATTGAAATAGAAGTTGAAAAAGTTTGCGTATGCAGGAGACATGTTTTTTTTTTTTTTCAGCTAAAAGTTTTGTACAAATGTATTATTAGTGTTTTTATCATAATCTGGACATATGCGTCTCTTTCTAGATCATCTAAAAATACATAGAACTGATTATTTGTCACAAATTTCAATGAATGGAAAAAAGACTTTATATTCCTACTTGTATTGTACAATTGTTTACATAAGTAAACATTATTTGCTAATCATTGAGTTTCCGGTTATGCTCTATTATTTAGTGTTTTCATAAATATATCGAAGAGTAAGAGAGGGAGAAAAACAGGTTATTTGAAAGAAATGGAAAAGATCAGAGAAAGATAAAAGTCTATTTATTTATTATCTAGATTGGATTAGACCAGTAAATAAAGCTTGAATAGCTTATAACAAGCACATGAAATTGCTATACATGTAAATATTATCTTTAGTTTCTTGTTATGTCTCTGTAATAATATCCATCACTACAGTCATTATTATTAATATTATTACTATTGTTATTATCATAATTATTATCATGAATTTCTGCTATTCACAGTAATTCTAAAATCTAAAATGTTCTCCCTATCCAGGTTTTCCATTCCATTATTATCACTCATTTCAATGATATTTGCAAATAAACATCAGTTTTTGAATTCGGTAGATTTTTTTAACGCAAATTTTGTTAATATTAATGAGCCACTTCGAATTTCGGTTAACGATCAACGTTTCTCGCTGAAGGTTTGCAAAAGTTTAAATTTATTAAAGTGAATTTTTGAGACTATCATATATTACTTGTAGATTGTATATGTCAAAGATATTAACAAATAAGATAAGTAAAGATAACAAATTAGTAAATAGTTATGATAATTATAAATGCTAAATGAATATCATATTATTTAGAGACAAAAGCGCGGTTCTGCTGTGATTTTTGAAAATGATAAATGGCCAAACGGACGTATTCCATATGTTATTTCTTCCACTTATAGTAGGCTTATTAGATTTTATCATTGTCAATTGATATAATATAATCATATGACTAAATTTTTGCAACTTCTTTCTAAATATGGTTATTTTGAAATGTTGAAATCTTTTTATTATTTAGAAGGATTAGAATTTCTAATCTTGATAGTAGGAAAAGTTTAATCTTTTTTTTTAAAAAAAATACCTATGAAATCCAAAATTAACAAATCACTAACAGTAAAGAAAAGAGAAGGAAATAAATGTAATAAATTAAATAATTTTTTTAACAGCTCTTTATCAACGTGCTATAATTGCTCGTGCAATAGCTGCTTATACTGCACGAACATGCATTCGTTTTACTCCTCGACAACTATATGATAGAGATTATATTATTATCTCAAAAACTGATGGGTATAAAATTTATACTTCTTTTCAGTATTTATTGCTAGAAATGATTTCTTCATTTCTTTGATCACCAATCAATAAATTAATTAGTATTTTGTTTAAATTTGGTATACATTCAAGTAATGAAATTATAATCAGATAGTTATTGATAGATATTTTTCTTTTTTTTTTTTTTTTTTACTTAATCCGTTAACTGCAAGAAATTTTACTCATTTGTTAATTTATCTAATATTCTTAAACTATAGATGTTTTGCTGATTTTGCACATGTTGGAGGAGGTCCACAACAAGTATCGCTTGCCGATGAATGCTTAAATTATGCAACTGTAATTCATGAATTAATGCATGTAATAGGTTTCATTCATGAGCATCAACGTAATGATCGCGATCATTTCGTTAATATTTTGTGGCAAAATATTATACCTGGCAAGTTTTTCTCATAAACAATAGCAATATAATGGTTGGTGATGACCTTCCGATCGAAACTGACTTCTGGTCTTTTCAAATTTTTCACTTTTCTTTTCTTTTTTTTAATTTTTTAATTTATTAACCAATATAAATCTACTAGAATGTAAAATCGTTATCATCATAGAAGACATTCCTTGTTTTACAGCGAACAGATCTATATTTCAACTGAACTCATCACAATATTTTGCCCACAATAAGGAATGCATAAATTTGTCTTGAAACAGTTACATAGGATATATAGGTGTTAAAATTAGATCTATCTACGAGCTTGCAATTAAAGAAGTGTGATTTCAAAATACATACGGAATCACTCGAAAACAAAAAAATTAAGTGAAATTGTCTCTTTTCATTTTTGCAGGCGCTAACACCGATTTCGAAAAACTGACTTCAGTAAAACTATCGTATTATGGTGAACGCTATGATTATTTCTCTATCATGCACTACGAATCAACGGAAGGTAGTCGTAATGGAAAAAACACAGTAGAAGCGAGAATCCAAGCAATCACCCCACTGATGGGTAAAAGTTCTGACTTCTCATCAAGTGATATTAATAGAATTAATCGAGCTTATAAATGTTAGAATTGCTTTTTGTATGGTTAGAAGGATTGAGTTATTCGATGTCCTAATTCTAGCCAAAGATAAGTGGAAAGTCAGACAGGAACGGAAAGACATATATATAATTTTTTATTATTTACAACGATTCAAAAGTTTATTCCTCATTTTCAAAATCTCCACCAACAAAAACCAAAAAAAGATATAGCGCTTCGTTTTACTCAGTTCTTTTTCCTCCTATTCGATTCAATTCAATATCTGATTCAAATAAAAACCGTAATTCGAAAGAAAGACATGTTAAAAAATAAAAAAAAAAAAAAAACGATATTGAAAATTGGTACAGAAAATTTGTTTAATCAGTATAATTTTATGATGTTTTCAATATCAAGCAGCGTAAATACAAAACGATGATTGTACGATGCACACATAAATAAGTTATTCAATCAGTTGTAGACTTCGAAAAATGAACACGTTCCACTTTTACTTGGTCGTCAACTAATCGATAAAGATATGTAATCAGCGTTCCCATTTGGACGTCCAGTAATGCAAATGACGGTATGACATCACTAAAAAATAAATTTTATTAAAATCTAAATGATTAAGCTAAAGACTAACCAATGTATATTTAAGCATATTAAAATTTATTGAAATATTACGGACACAACAAATTATTCAGTACTACCTTTGTATGGGTGAGAAAGCTCCAGTTGCAGAGCCAGGATTCACATAAAATCGTCCCTCATGTTGGAAAGTTTGACATTCATGCGTATGGCCAGTTATCAGAACATCTACATCCATTTGTCGTGCTAACATTTCTAACCTCTAAAAATAATATTTGCATCTAAATATGATCTGAACCTTTGACGTCCCCAAAGAAAGAAATCCGTTACCTTCTTGTCGCCCCAGGGCACAATTTGATGACCGTGACATAAGCCAATTCGGAACTGTCCAACTGTAATAACTTTAGTATCTGGGTAATTCGTTAAAACATCGTCGAAATCACCACGAGCCTGAAATAACATTCCTCAAATGAGGAACCATGCCAATTTCACTCACGTATTGTAATTGATTAACAATCAGTGTAGCATCAATTTACTTGTGATCATCCAATTACCAAATTATTTCGTTCTGGATTTTGTCCGCAGTTTTTTTTTTTTTTAATATCAGTAACGAAGTAAACAGATTTCAAAAAACGTTAAAATAGTCGAAACTTACTACATGCACATCAGACGCCAAAGATTTTAGGTAATCAAATGTTTCACGTGTGCATAAATTACCGGTACACAAAACATGTTGCATTTTGTTTGGTACCAGTAATTTACGAAATCTTGCTGGTATGTTATGACTTCGATGTGGTATGTGAAAATCACCAATAACAAGGACCAGCTGAAAAAAAAAAAAGCAAATGAAATGGAATAGGTTAGTTGTGAACTGCAAGAAAATACTTTATAAAAGTTAACTGGAAGAAGTAAACGAACCATAACTTTGGATCGAAATTAAACTAATTCCAAATGATGGAACTCAATTCCTTATAGCCTCATCAATTTCTCGATGTCGCAGATTAACTATTCAGGAAAAAACAATATATTAACATTGCAATCCTAAAATTAATTTCCATAAAAACGAATTACACATATTATTCCCTCCGAACATTTCACAAAACAAAAATGACGAACCAACTCAACAAGTGTTTACCATATCGTTTTACAGTCTCTAACCTATCGTATCCAAATCATCTGTTGCAGAACCAAACAAAAAAGTGCAACTTTATGTCATTAACATTTCAGGAATTCCTGATTATGCAGAGATATTCGTACAGCAAACTTCAACAGATTTTTTTTTTTTTTTTTTTTTTTGCACATTCCTAATTATATACGATAGAGAATGATTATACTCACTTTTTACGACTTACTTTCATTTCCATAATTTATAGATAAAATATTTCAGTGAATAAATTTGGCAGTTCCGGTATTTCTTCCTAAATTATTTTTTTCTTGCATGTTTTCTTTTTATTTTTTGTTTCTATGTTTTCCATAGTATGACTCAATTGAAAGTATAATGTATTCACGTTGTTTATTATGTTCAAAAGAAAAAAAGTTGTGGACATCTTATTAGCTATTAAATCCATCTAATTCTTTATACATTTCATCTTTATATTCATTTACATATTTTTATGAAAAAAAATTCTGATTCCAAACAATTTGTCACAATGAGTTTGTCATTTTGTTTACGTATATTAAAAATGTATGTTATTGCAGGGGGAATGCGAAACATTCAGAAAAATATTGTACGATAGAGAGAGAGAATAAGTGTAAAAGATGAATGATTTTGAGGAGTGGCAGGATGTTAGAGTGTTGTTGAGAAATATCGCTGTAAATACTGATGGCGAGAGATGGAAAACAATTGGTCATCTAATGGTCAAAGATTAAGCGATAGCATTAATGTTATTTAGATTGATTAGAGGTGTTATTGCTTCTTGCATGTGTTATAAGTAAAGTAGAGGGTAGATTTTTCAGGTTAAGTTCCCTTTGAATGGAGAGAGAGAGGGGGGCGGGGGAGAAACAGAAAGAGAGAACAAGAGAAAGGGGAGAAGGATTATCTGCTAATTATGGATTACCGTAATTGCTATTTCAGGATACGTTTCCGATTTTCCTACTTTTAGTTAAAATATAGATCTCCTAGTATAAATCCACCTTGTAATCTTTCATTTCTATAATAATTAGCTAAATATTACTAGTATTACGTGTAGTTTACACGTTTCTGGTTAACGTGCTATCACGAGTGCAAACGTCGTGTACTTATATGGTTACGTTATTCCTTGACTGTATGTCACATAGCAACACTACCAGTTGGCTGTTGTTAGACAATGACGTCAAGGAACATTTGTAGTGATACGTTGTCATCACGTGCACAACGCGCAACGCACTTCACAGCAGTGAGTAGGGCAGTTTGTGAAGGAGAAGTGCAGTGAGAATGCATTGTTTGTTGAAGGCACTGCACGTGGTCCGTTTGATAGGAGAAAGAGAGATGGAGATGGATGGCTTAGTTGAGGGCGGAGAGAGAAGTACGTGTTGGGCGGGTTTGTCTCTTGATTACACCGTAGCGCGTGACGTTGAAGAGTAAGCAAGGTTGTAGTTATTGCGGAAGGTGGAGTTATTGTCAGTGGACAGTTCTGTTTCGACCCCCGCGGTACCACGGTGTCAGAAGAGGAAGCACTAGGTTGACTATCTTTTCTGTATAGCAGCGAGATGTAATGAATTGTGGTACTACTCCCAGTGTCCCATCCGTGTCACCCTCTCCTTTGTTCCGGTCGTCCCCTCACTAGTTCGACGACTAGGCGATCAATACATCACTGAGTATCAACCAATTTTCCGTCCTGAGTGTCAGCCAAGGTTCGTTCTTCTTCTTCATCGCGAACTATGGCTCGCCGTATCCGTGGCTGTTTTCGGTTTTTGTGGTTCTTCCGTCCGGTTATGCTGTTTCCTGTTACTGTTGCTAGTTTTTCCCGAATCCCGCAAGCAATTTTCATATCTTTTCCACCAAAATTTGTCGAAAATGCACAATTGTATAATTTCTGCACTGCATCGCTGAGAAATGCATAATTTGTTCACAAGAATTATTGTTAACTTTTCCCTAAGTTTTATGAATTTTATCTCAAATTTTGATTTATAATTATAGTCTAAGTATTTGCCTATCGTATATGTGTTACTAGGCCTTACTCTCACTAAAATCTTACTTTTGTATAAAGATATATATAACTTTATATCCCAGAAAATATCCCCTGAAGGTCTTCAAAGGAGATAGTCATAGAATCAGTGAGAAAGCGGCAGTATTGTGAGTAGATAGAGAGAATTAGACGATGATACAGTAGTGCAAGTGCCTTCTCGAGGATGAAAAGTACGTGAGAGAATGTGTTTAATGCATATATTGTGAGAGTGTCCTCTCAGTTATAAATTTGAGGTTGCAAAAAGATAAAAAAATATTTCTTATTTAATTTTTAATTTTAAAGAGTGAGCGGGAAACTATCTACACTTTCACCATTTCCATTTTATCATTTGAAATGGAAGTGAATTAAGAGAGCGAGTTCTGTGAATGAAATACTAAGGAAAGACAAGTGTTGAAGTGACGGGTAGAAAATAGAAAGTGTGTTTTATTCCATTTTTAATTTACAGAAAGACAGGTGAGGCTGTGAGTCCTAAATCTACCGGTTGCATGAGGAGATTGCTAAAGAATTGACTGTCGATAGTTTAAATGATGTAAAGATAATTATATTAGAATTTATTTGACTTTTGTAAATCTACACAGTATCTATTCAATTGAAAGTCTTGCTTATTGTTCAGATATATGTCTTTGCGAAGAAAATTTTGTTACATGTATACATAAAATAATTTGATGAGGTAATCTTAATTGAATATGGTATGACTTTAATGGATGAAAAATCGATATGTTGAAGTCATATTGCGTACCGATTGAAAATATTTAAGATACTGTGTTCTTGTGCTTAGGATTTTATTTTATTTCTTCAATATGCAGTAATATTTTAAAGGATTCTCCTTGATAGTCTACCAAAATAACCTTTTCTTAAAATTCTGAGTAAAGTAATACATTTCTTCTCGTTATGGTATATTATCCTTAGTTTGGCATGGTGTATTATCCTTAGTTTGTACGAAATTCATTTTTCAGCTACCAGTTGCATCTTTCGATTTCTTTGTGAATTTTGCTAATTACCGTCTACGATGGCCCGTACCAAGCAAACTGCTCGTAAATCTACTGGAGGTTAGCTACTTTATTTGATGGAATTTCTTTCCACGAATGTTTAAGGTCTCTGAATTATTCAGAAAGATTTAGAAATAAATATTTGTGTTAAGAATTAGTTAATCCGTGAAATTAATTAATAAAACTTTGTTTCCAAATCTAAAATCAAGTTGAACCATTGTAGGTAAAGCTCCGCGTAAACAGCTGGCTACCAAAGCAGCACGTAAATCAGCTCCTTCCACTGGAGGCGTTAAGAAGCCTCATCGTTACCGTCCAGGTACTGTTGCGCTTCGTGAAATTCGTCGCTATCAGAAATCCACCGAGCTTCTGATCCGAAAACTTCCATTTCAACGTTTAGTGCGTGAAATCGCACAAGATTTCAAAACCGATCTACGTTTCCAGTCGGCTGCTATTGGCGCCCTACAGGTTTTTTTTTTTGCTATCTGTTTTTAGTTTCTAACATTTTTGATAAACACTTTGATTACGGGAGAAAGTCGCATGTTGTAATTTGAAAAATCAAAATATGGTACATATATCTGCTTGTCATAAGATCATTATCTAAAAAGTTCAAAATCAAAAACATGGTATTTAATTATTTAATCAAATAAATGATTTGAAAATGCACGACTTGACTTTTTTCTTCGTAAATTATAGAAAATTTCAGGATCTCCACTAAATTTCAATTTTTTGATTTCTTGTTTTGAAGATCCTAACTGGTCTTGTGCGAGCAGAATACTGCCACTGTTTTAGTGTTTAAGCAACTAACCTATTTTAGGAAGCCAGTGAAGCCTATTTGGTTGGTCTTTTCGAAGACACCAATCTGTGCGCAATTCATGCCAAGCGTGTTACCATCATGCCAAAGGACATTCAGCTGGCTCGTCGTATTCGTGGTGAACGCGCCTAAAGAAATTTTATTATGATCGTATATAATTTATCATTCACCACTACTCCAAAATGTGTTGTAACTTTTGATTTTTTTCATACTGCCTCAAATAGTTAAGCACAGTGTCCCTTTCTAACTGTAAAAAATCGTCCCAATTCTACAGTACTTTTCTTCTATATTACGAAAATACTAATATTTCTTTCTGAGGTAACCTAATTTGGTCGTTCATCATTTTTTTTGTAGAAATTACATTATCTTAAATCTTTATATTTCTTTCTTAAAGCACTCTGAGACCTGAGAAATATGTCCGATTTTTTTTTTTAAATATGTAATTGTGGAAGTAGCAAAACAATTTCTTTCTATTACTTTTTTTTATCGAGATCTCTTATCGTCATTCATAGATTCTTGAAAGTTTTGGTTTCATGCTATCACTAACGAGAAAGTAAAATGATTATATACTTTTGATCACATAAACATTTGGGAACCGATGATAATTGAAACGCGACGAAGTATTATTTTGAGAACAGGATGTTAGCATCCCTCATTTCATCTCACATTTTATTCGTAGTCGCCGATCATCACGTTTGCATGAATTCTTATAGTAAAGGAGTACAATATTTCTTCGTAACTTCAGTAATGTATTTAGAACTTGAATTTTTTATTTGGTAAAATGTTATGTTTCTGTATAAAAATGAGGTGATACTAGTAATTCGGATTTCAATTTTTCAAGTTCCTGCTGCTGTGATGTGTGATGACCTTTTGTGTGTATTTGAACTGGTAAAAAAAAAAAAACGAAAAAGTAACGAAGGCATACCTGTATGGATGAAAATTAGTCATTCTCACAGATTTTGTTAGCAGAGGGCAGAACAAAACAAAAGGTTTTTAGAACCTGAAAGATCTATCCTCTTAAGCTGGAATAAGTGAGTTAAGAATGTTACTGGTTTTTGAAACAAATACAGTATCTCAAACTCTTGGAGTTGTATATTTATGGAAGGATTTCGTGGAGCAAATATAAAATGAACCTGATAGGATGCGGGAGAATTAATAAAAGTTTGCTGGGATGAAGGCTTTTCACTACAGCTCTGCCTAGTAATCTAGTGAGTTTTGGTTCGTAATGCTATTTGCAAAACTGTTTTAGTTTTTCCTGTTTTTGTGTGATGTGATGGAGTTTTGACGTAATTTAAGTGAATGGGACCAGAGATTGTACTGTAATGTCTTTTAGCATCATTTTTCCTGTATTGGAATTAGTAATATAAATGAAAGTTTTAATGGATATAGAAAAATTTATACATTGGAATCTTAATGAAGTTTCATTTCAGTTTGATTAAACGATGTGGTGTTAACTTTAGCATTAAGGATTTATCATATTTTCACAGACACAATCAATGAGCCATTTCCCTGGAAATCTGTGGAAATGGCAATGGCCACTGGTGAAATGTTCGTGGAACTCTATATCTCATTATTTTTTCACTTCCGTTCTATTAACGAGTAGTTTGATTGGTGCTATTACTTATCTGTACACAACTTCTAGACGATCATCTCGTAATGCACTACGAACTCTTGCTAGTAAGTTCTATTAAGCCAGTCGTATTTAGACCAGTGCTAATTGATTCCTCGTTATCTCAAATCCTCATGATCTTTGTTGGTTTCATCACAAATTAATATATCGTCCCTTTTCATTTTTATCTTTTTTTCTTACTTTCAATGAAATTTGCGTTGAGTCGAATGATTTCAAATTAATTATATGTCGAGAAGGAATCCAGTAGTTTTTATTTATTTTTAGATAGTCGTGGGCACTGCGTTCCAGCAATGTTTAATTTGGGCAACACATGCTTTGCTAATTCATTGTTGCAGGGACTTGCCAGGTTATTCTTAATTTAAATATCTTTACTTATGAAATTAAGTGACATATTTTTTTTTATTTTTCTTAGGTAGTATCGTTGCTTTATTTATTTTTGGTTCAAATGGAACGGAAAAAAGTGGATTTTTATTCATTGCAGTTCAAAGGCTTTTTTTAAATGGATCCAGAGAATTGATACTAGTCTTGCTTATGGAGGTCATAAATTAGTGTTTTTGGATGCCTTAAAAAGAGTTGTTCAAGGTTTGATGTTTTATAAATTTAAATGCATACTAGAGGTTGCTTACTCCTTTATTTTGTTTTTTTTTTTTTTTGTGAGTTCTGAATATAGCATAATAATTTCTCATTTTGGAATATTTCCAAGTTAGAATATCTTAAGCTTGCCAAACCTTATTAATAATCTAAAATAGTTAGAACACATGACTTGTGACTAACATTGTTTTATATGTTAATGGCTCAGAATAAATAATTTATAAAAAATAAAATAAAATAAAAAAAAAGAAAATAAATTAGTTGAACTACCTTTACCCTTAAATTTAAAATTATGCTTGTGTAATCAACTGAAACTCTGACATAGTATTCCTCATTTGCAGAGTTAAATGACGCCACAAAGACGACATGCTCCGCTTCGGATGTAATTGATGCTTTACTGGCACACAGGTGGTCCATACCACCAAATACGGAACAGGTCTTTCGTATTCTTGAATATCTAGCTCTTTTTTTGTGATATCACGTTATTTGCATATGTTTTTATACTTTTTTTTATGAGCAAGGAATCTTTGTAATGTTCAGATGTGATTTACTAATCTTTCATTTAAGAACGAATGTATAATTTTATGCATCAGGATTTGCTAATTGAATTTTTCATATTTTTATAGGATTTATATGAATTATTTAATGTATTCGTTACAACGTGGGATGAGGAGTTGGCAGAACTGAGGTATAGTCGTGCATCACCGTTGCAGAAAATTATCGAAATCGTTAGTTTCACTTATTAGTATTTAGTGCCGATAATTTCTTGAAATCATATCATACTTGATGGGATTTATATAAATATTTTCTTAAATTAAATTATTCTCTTCCTCAACAATAACTGGATGAAAAAAGAACTGCTTCTGGTACCTAGTATTCACAAGGTACTTTTCATTTCCTAAGTGTCGAATATATTCTGGAAGACTTCAAACCATGGCATGAAAGTGAAGTTTTAGGAGCAGGAAAATAAAATGTCGTTGAATTCACCGATCATTGATAAGGAGATCTTAAGAAGCAACGTCAACATAACCCGCCGCAATGTCGGTGATGTGGAAGACAAGAAAATTCATGATAGTAATTATCTTAACAATACTAGTTTGAACTCCTCCAGTGATTTTCATCCTTTGCCACTTAATTCACTATCATTTGAACATGTGAAGGTTTGTTTTTGGTTTTTGTTTCCCCACTACATGAGTATAGTGGTAAGGTGTCATCTTAAGAACAAATAAACATTAACGTTAAAGTTTTCTTTCGTGCTTACCGATTCCGAACTGTGATTGAATTCCTATTTTATATACACATTTCTGATAATCAGTAAGTGACGTGTTCTTTCAGAGCACTGTGGCAGACGAGAAGCTATTAAAACCGCCATGCATGGGATTATTAGCTATTCAGTTACGTTGCTGTAAAGAGGATTGCCTTTATAAGGTATGTTAAAAGATTTCTATACGGTTTTATGTCGGAAGCTTTTTGTTTTCAACTCTTTCTACTTATATCGTTATATTGTTAACAATGATAAATTATATAATCTCTGAAGCTCAGTTCATCTGATTTAGAAAATCCGCGAAGAAAAATTTTGTGTTTTGTCACTTTCGCTTCCGAAATCACCCACACCGGTAAGTAATTTGTTTATTATAAACCATATACTCAATATGACTTATATTGAGCTTCGTGCGTTTAATGATATTTATTGTTACTTAACTTTAGAAAATGGTGTTCAATTACGACTTTTAGAAAGAAGTGATAAGAATTTCACACAAATATACCGTTGTGATTTACAGAAAAGTATAAAGTATGAAGAACAGGAAAAGTACGTTTTTAGTTCATAAGCTTGAGTATCAAGAAAGGAACCGATTTTCAATTAGCTAAATGAGAAGAAAAATGATCTTTTCAGCTGCTAACATTTTCGAGATTATTGGAAAGATATTTTGCCACTGAATACATCCAAGGAGCATCATGTGATCGATGTTTAGAAAGGAAGCAGGATCGATCTGGTGGCCTAATGAGGAAACAAGGATTTTGTAAAGTAATTTTCATATTTTTTTGTGGTTACTACATTTCATGAATTCTCCACCATAATAATATACCGAATTTTTTTTCTTGGATAGTGCATGTGGCAGTACGAGATTTTCTGCCCTATATCATTTTGTCATTTTTGCTGCAAATTTTCTGTCCTATATCATTTTGTCATTTTTGCTGCAAATTTTCTGTCCTATATCATTTTGTCATTTTTGCATTTTTTTTTTTGCTATAGGTTTTTAAATAAAAGATGATTTTCTCCTGTAATTTAATACTTCATTTTACAGTTGCCGTCTTTATTGATATTTCGTATCGAGCGAGTTGGATTTTCTCCTGATGGATACATTTTCAAACGTACTGAACGTTTTTTATTTCCTGAATTCATTGATGTTCGAGAATATTGCTTCTTCAGTGAACAAGTTTGATTTTTAATAATTTCAATAGATAAGTAAATTTATTCAACTTCCGTACGTAGCTTCTTCAAAGGACTATGATGCGCTTAACGCAACATTTGTAAATTATTTTTCTTACTCCATTTTTGAAATTTAACAGATTCTTTTGTTATACGAATTTTGCACTTTTTCATCTCTATTTTACCCTCATTACTTCAAAGTTTGCATTTTTCCTTTTTAACAAGAAACTGATCTGTTTTGATTTTAGAGCAATCCAAAGCAAACGAAAGACTCGTTATCAAATTCCAGTTTTCGAGTTTTGGGAGGTTCGGCTTTAAATGCGTCATCTTCTATTCCAAAAGTCGAACAACAATGGCAGCAGGCTACACAGCTGTCTTTAGTTAGGTGAGTCAATGATTTCTAGCTGAGTTTTTCGTTAAGCCTATGTCAGTTTATATTATACTTTTCAGCAATGGGACGAATCTCAGTGAATACGATAGTATGTTCAAATACAAGTACCAGTTGCGTGCTGTTTCTGTACATATTGGACAAGCTCAGTCAGGTCATTTTATTACCTATCGTCGAGGAATTGGCGTTCAAAATCGATCTACTTGGTATAAAACCAGTGACACAGAGGTAAATTTAATGTAGAAAGAACATGAAATATCCAAATATATATATATATATATATATATAGAATTAATAAAAAAAAATATTTTTATACAGCAAAAGGAAATAACCTTATTTGAAATTCAGGTTACGCCAGTATCGTTCGCACAAGTGGTATCATCAGAAGCATACATGCTCTTCTATGACAGAGCTCTTGCTACATTAAATTAAACATAAAGAAATCCAGAAAAAGATGAAACGTTCATCTTGTTTTATTTTAAAATGGGAAACACACCTCTGAACAGGAACAAACTTTATGCTGTTTCTTTTAACTTTTTGTTGTATGTTGTACTGGATCAAATCCTGTTAGCTTACTTTTAATCGGATTTTAATGTTCAGCACTTGTGTTTTGAATTATTTTGTTTTACTTTTGTATATTGTTGAGAAACGGGTTGCTGTTTGAGTAAATTATATTTTCTTATTGATCTGATGCTCAAATATTTTTAAAAATGATCTTTTCTATGTGTATGGAGGAGACCATCCAAAACTGCGCTTTCGTATCTTATAGCTGACTGAAATTGTATTTTGCTGAACCTATCATTGCTTTAAACGGTAAAGTTGAGATATGTGCTTTTCTGAACGATAGTTGTTATGTTTGACGCATATACATTCTTTTTGTTTTATTTGTTTGAATTGTTGTGTTCATTTTCATTCGTCGCAAATTTTTGATCTAGTACTGTGAATTTTTACAAATTGTGACACTCCTGGCTGCTGATTTTTCTTATGCAAAGAGATTGCTTTGTTATAACTAATGTGAAAAAACTAACTCTATATACATTTTTTTACTCATTAATTGCAAATAAAACATATCCGTACTATTTGCTATGGACTGAATAACTGGTGGAATTTTTACACGCTTTAAAAGGCACTATCATGCTTTGAAAATGGACATCTCTCAGGGGATGAAACAACGCAACTTTATAAATTAACGGATATTAGCAGCTTTGACCTTGAGCATCACGTTCGCGAGTGGGACGACACTTGGGATAATTTTGGAAGTTAGGGGGACGGAGTAGGAGTGGGGGGAGGGGGGATTGAAGATTTCTACATTTGGACATCGATGCATGCCAGACTGTCCAGTTTATGACAACTGCGCTCGGTAAACAGTTCTAGTCGATTTCATTTCATTCTTTTATTGGTTAATTATTTTATTAATTTTCCTAAATTTTTCTGGTTAAAATTAGTTTTTTTTTTTGATTAATTGTTTTTAGTAAATGTATACGCAGTTTAAGGTAACTGGGATACTAATGGATGATAAGTTACCTGAGGATTTTGATGTGATTATTTTGGGCACTGGACTTCCGGAATGTATGATTGCGGCGGCTTGCGCCCGTTCTGGTCTTAGTGTATTGCAGTTGGATAGGTAAGTGTAAAAGCTGGTTATGGTTCCATTTTTTCGTATTTGTTACGATGGAAAGTTTCCGAACAAAAAATGACATAGAATTGTTTTTATGTAAGGAACGATTATTACGGTGATTTGTGGTCCTCATTCAATTTACGAACAATCCAGAATTGGATAACGAGAGATAACAAGAATAATAATGAAGCTGAAATTAATTCTGAATCTTTTCTGCGTGATGGTGAAGAATTTTTACCAGTTACATATCGTTCTTTTGTTAAGAATGTCCATCAACATTTTTTCCACGAGTTAGTCTTCCACAATGATTTCTTTTTTGGTTCTGTTTGTTGTTACTTGAAGATGGGAAATACATTGTGTTGTGTTTAGTTTGGAATGCAGTTATATATATATATATATGTATGTTTTTGAGTTCCAGCAATATTTCAAATGTTGAGGGATTGGATGCTGCTGGAATAGCTTCACATGTGCAGGATATCAATCCTCAATGGCGAAAATTTAGTTTGGATCTTTTACCTAAGGTTTTTCATCATTAGATTGTTAACTTTTTGATTTTTTGGTCATAAGAGAGTGTTTTTTCTCATATGAATAGAAATTTTTTTTTTTTGATTAGTGACCTTGATCGAATGCCATGTTTAAATTATATCTGTTTGATTGCTTTTCACGTTAACTGTTACTGACTGATGAGATCAGAAACTTCTGAATCTAATTATCGCTATTTATTTGTCTCTAAATTAAAAGAAAAAACCGAACAATTGTTTAGCTGTTTGACGGCACGTCATATTTCAGGTATTATTAAGTAGAGGTGATATGGTAAAATTGCTGTGTGATTCTGGTGTTGCCAAATATTGCGAATTCAAGTGTGTTGATCGACTTTTGAGCCATATATCAAATAAAGGCTCAAATCGACTTGAAGTTGTTCCGTGTTCACGAGGCGAAATATTCCGAAGTGATGCTATTTCGTTGGTTTCGTATTATTTATTTTCTAGATTTCTTAATTAGGTTATTTGGATCTGCTCTGCTTCGAAAATAATTTTCAAATCTTGACATCATTTTCACTTGTCGGGTTTCCATGAAATGTAGGAATCTGCTTTTATAATAATAGTGATTCTATATTGCGTTACGGTTACTGTTACGAAGAAATAAACTGGTCAGTTATATCTTTCTTACTCAAAATCACATCGAAATTCACTGTATTATCACTGGATTTTTTTTCTTGAAAAAGAGATTACCCATTTAAAAAAGAAAAAAGATATTGGGTTTATGTTCAGAGTGCAAGATAAACGACGAGTGATGAGATTTCTCCAGAAATGCATTGAATGGAGGAGAAATCCTAATGAAAATGACAGTTGGAAAGGTAACTAATCTCGAGTACTCTCAGGGGAAATTAAGTGTTGAAGAAAACAAAGCATCACTGCCTTGATGTTATTTTTAAGAATTAATATTTCAGTGCAATGTCAAACATTGTGATATTTTAAATGTTATGTATTAATGAAGTTGCATTTTTTTCAAGAATATGCTGAAAAACCGTTTGATACTTTCGTGGAATCTATTGGTATCGTAGGTCAAGCGAAGAGTATACTTACTGACACTCTAGCAATCCTTCATCCATCATCTAAAACTAAAGAGATAAGTTGTCTATGTTTGCAAGTTTTGTGTTGAAAACAATTCCTATGCAAATTTTGCCAACTTGCTTTTTGAATGAGATTGATTTTTAAATCGCTAAAAACATTTTATGTTTTGAATCAAAAATCTTTTTTGCTTTTTGTGTTGTTCGTTTCCGTGCACATCATATGGCAAAATTACTAAAATTACTAAACTCGCCCAAATATGACCACTTGTAATTGGTCGTAAATTATCAAAAAATATAAGGCCTGGAAGCAATATGGCAGTTTATGGAATCTGTTGGACGCTTTGGTGATTCGCCATTTTTGTGGACACTATATGGTAGTGGAGAATTACCCCAGTGTTTTGCCCGACTGTGCGCTGTTTTTGGTGGAATTTATTGTCTGAATCGTTCGGTTGATGGCTTTATCGTCGCTAATGGAAGGTTTTTTTTTTTTTTCAAAGAAAAGTTTTCATTTATTTTTTTTTAAAAAAAGTAATATTTTCAATAACATTTTGATCTTTTTAAAGAATTTTAATACTTTTAGATTTTAAAAAAAAATTAATGAAAATTTATTGGTTTTAAGATTGTAATACGAATAACTTTTAGGATAGTAGCGGTAATAACACAAGGTCAACGCATAAAATGTAATCACGTAATAGCAAATGAAGCATACGTACCTCAGCAGTACATAAGCACCTCGTTGCGAACGCAGCTGAATCGAGTCATTTTGATAACAGACCGTTCTATTCTACCAGACCTCGAAAAAGAACATGTAATTCATCATTTTTTGAGGAATCATTTCCTTTTTTCAAGTTAGTCAGTTAGCAAGATACACTTGGCGGTGCTAATATTACGACCAAACCTTATATTTGTTTGATTTCCACTATTATCACGTCATTCTTTTCAGATCAGTGTATTAAATCTCTCCAATTTAGGAAGTAATATATTTGCTTATTTACTGGAAACCGGATATGAAGGATGTGTTGCACCAAAAGGAAAATGTTAGTATTAGAGTCATTTTTAACTGTAAAAAATTTGATCCTATAAGTGACAAACATTTACCACTTGTGTAATCATAGTCTTTTTTCGTGCAGTTATGGCAATTTTACCGATTTCTGAATCCTTTTTAATTAATCATCTAATATAACACTGGCTTATTTTGTTATCTCAACTACCAAAGAATATTTGATGTTAAGCACAGTAATTTGATTATCTCATAGAAGGTTAAGTAATTTTATCACTTTTTTTTGTAACTATCCGTTTGTCTTTGATAACAAAATTTGGAGTGCTAATGTTGCATAACGGAAGCTGTATTTTCATTAACCTAAAACTTCACTGTTCTGTTTAGTGAAAATTCGAGTACGATTCAAGTTTACATAATTAAAAGACACAAAAACTCTTTTAGATGTAACTCATATAACAGCACGAAGTGATAGCGCTGCGAGCATTATTTTAAATCCTATAATTGATGTATTTTTCAATATGACGACGAATGGTAACTGTAATTTTCTTATTTGCATTAATTTTTCCTTCCATTTTTTCGTGAATTTGTGATTTGTCCAGTCTATTTAAATCTAATGAACCATTAAATTTACTAATGTTAGTAGCAGATAACTGCACTGTAATGGAAAGTTTCGAAGCACCTTTTATGTTTAGAATTAAGCTCAAATAATCTCTTGTATTGCTATTTAATGATAACAGACTGAATTAAAATAATTATGTTAAAAAAATACTTATTTGTAGATTTGAAGAAATTGCCTATTTCTAATTAGATATCAAGAACACTGAAACATTGATAAAACAACTTTTACAGAAGAAATGAAACCTCGAATCTTGTGGTCTCTTTACTTTGATTTAGTTTTACCATCCATAGTTTCCCATACCTTGCCAATAAATATGCGAATTGTTCCAAGTATTGACGAACATTTAAATTATGCCCAAATCATTTGCGAGGTAATTTTCTTCTTTGTTTATCAATACCAATTGTATTTTATATCCTTTCTGGTGATTTTTTTTTCTTTTTTTTCAGATTAAAAAAATATTTCATATGTTCATTTTTAAGTGTATCTACTTGATATTTATATTTTCGTATAAATTGTTGAAAATTCATTTTCAGCGCTAACATTATTAATGATTTGTCTTTTTCAGGTAAGGAAAATTTTTGAAGAGCTATGGCCAGATCGTGATTTTTTGCCACCCTCATTGATTGAAGAGGAAAGCGAAGAAAGCGACGTTAATTTAGCAAATATTGAGAGGAAGCAGAAAGTTATAGAAAATGTAGTTGAACGAAATGACATAAATAGCGATTTGGCTTCATAATGATATGCTTTTTGTTGAAGGATACCGAAGAACCTTTTCTTTTCTTTTTTGGCGAACAAATTTTAATAAATTTTGTCCAATAAATCTTACAGTTATTTTTGGAGAATTATATAGAAAAGGTATATTTAGGGCGCCCTTTGAGTAAACTGGTTTCTCTTTGATTACAAAGAGATGGGGAATTTTCTTTCTTCTTTTGATTGATTCTCTTTATTTATTTTTGTGTTGCAAGCAATGAGTTCATCATTTTGTCACTGAAACTTAAAATAATGCATTTGTAAATATGGTGTTAAAGTTGTAATTACACTGATACACTGTGACTGTTACACTGAACAAAATTTCTTCACTGCATAACATTTTAATATGACAACATTGTTGTTTAGTTGAGCTTTGACACCACATAAATACATGAAATTTTTAGACTATTTAGTAAATAAAGCATTGGAATTTAACGGGGAAGAAATGAATTGCTTTCGCTTCTTTTACTTTGAATAGAAATTTTTTGTGATGCTGAAAAGGATGATAACTGTTAATAGTGTCTTATTCTTAAATTGTTTGAAGTCTGTATAAATAACAAAGTCAGTATAACTAACAAGATTAGAAACTTTAGGAACAATATTTGTCTTGTTTTAAAAAATATTTTGTTATAAATTTCCATGAATTCTAATCATGAAATTGGGTGTAAATAAAGCTATAATGATATAAGTTGGAAATTATTAAGGTTAATTTAACCGATTATTAGCCGTATTTATTTGATCAAGATGGCAGCAACAGCAAGGGATGTAACAAGGCCATAGACTTCAATGTAAATGATTTTAATGGTTTTCTTGTTTTTAATAATTATGATTTCATCTTGATTTTGTGGCCTTTTTATTATTTTTTTCTAATTTTTGATTTTAAGAATTTTAGCTTGCTGAAATAATTGATATATTGTGTTTTGTTACAGAGAGGAGATAGTTGCAAATAGATGAACATGATGGAACATGCAGATAATGATGTATACCATAGAAAAGATCATCAGCTGGAGACAAAAAAAGAAAAAAACGGAAATGTAAGTGTTGACTGAGAAGGCTATTGTGAAGAAAGTACAAAAAAATAACATTTGGTAAGTTTTAACTAATAACAAATACTGATCCATAAAATATGAGAGCTTTCTGTTGTACTTTCCATTATTCATTTGAAACCACTAGACATCATAAATCTTTCGAAGCAGAGCTCAAAAAGTTACCGTTTGAGATAATTATGTCAGTCAATCAATTGATTAGTATATATAACTTGGATGCACATAAGTAAATAAATGATGCACATAAGTAAATAAAAGATGTACATAAGTATATATAAAAGTTTTAACTGAATTATCTCACTGCTAATGTAAAACTAACAAATAGATGAAAAAGGTGGATTATTTAGATGAGTAAATGATGTATGGTATAGGAAAAATGAACATCAATTCAAGGTAAAAGAAATGAAAGTGTAAGTATTGATTTGAAAGGGCATAGTGAAAAATATGGAGAGAGGGAGAAAAGAATAATAGAAAAATAAACTAACTGCTTTTTGCTTTTTCAATTATATTCGTTAAAAGAGGCGGCACTTTGGATGTAATCAGGCGAGCAGATGTTTTTGTTGTTTTGATGATTTTTGAGGATTAGTTATGTCTTCCCCTGGATATGATAAGTAGTAATTTAGTTGGTATTGGTTCATTTTAAACATGTAATAATTAATTGACGTATTAAAGATGTCGCTGATGGATCTTTCTAATTAAAAGAGCTAGCTAAACAGAAATAGTAATCAATTTGAGTGCAATGGAATATGCTGTTATTCTTTCTTTCCATTTAATCATAATTATAAAGGTCAGCTCATACATCTTTTACGTACCCTTTTCATATACTATTACAAAATTGGATATTCTGTCAGAGAATATCTTTTTGAAAATTGTTAATATCATCATTATTTCTTTCATTTGAGTTAAAATAGTTCTGGGATATTTTTTGTGTATTTGAATTTTCATTTATTCTTCGCCAGGAACATTCAGCTGTTTTTACATGCACTTATTTTCACATGTATCTATCATTTCGTTCAAAAAATACACATCAGTAAAGAATTTTTTTCACGGATCAAATTCCAACTTTGACATCATTCTGATCAACAGCTAGCACCGATCTTTGACTTCACTTCAACAACATATCGATTATAGATCAATTGCCGGAAGTTCTCTCCACTAAAAGAAAGATCAACTCTTACACACAATTGTTAATCAAGTGCCTGATGTTACAGCTGTCTCTCTGTCAAGTTTTAGCTTCTTAGTCATATCTCTAAATTCTAAAATTTTGATCTTAAATCTCATCATTTGAAAACATCAGGTTTTTGCCCTTTCGCATGAGGTTAAGAATTTTTTGTGCATCAGTCGGTTGTCTTCAGACAAAACTTTTATTCTTTCTGGATTTCATCTCTTCCTGCTACTACACCATCAAGTTGATACACTACAAATTGACGTAATTATCTAATCTATGATCACCTAAAAAGTTTCCGCGCAAAAATGTCACTGGTCTTGATTGGTTTTACAACCTTTTTCACTCTAAACAAGTTGCTGTATACAGGAATACCTTAAATTATTTATTTATTTATTTAAACTCATCAGAAATTTCATCTCAGATAGTATTTTTTACCATTCTTTTCCATTTCTTTATGTTCTTAAAATGAAACTAAAATATAGATGTCTTCTTAAATTTGACGCTAATGATTAAACATTATTAAATTCGTGGTAATTCTAATCAACCAGTTATTGATATTAGTGAGTTTTTAGTGAATTTTTTATGGTGGAATAGATAAACAATAATAAACTAAAGAACAAACTGAAAGAATACATTTATAATAGAAGTTTTGATTGTTGATAATTGTTTACGCGATTATCAGTCTTCATTTCGAATAAGTTAGAAAAGCTATGTAGAAAATCTTATAGTCGAAAGTATTTTATCTTAGCACTTAAAATGCTGCAGGTTAATTGCTGCTACATTTTTTGTTGTTATTGTTCTAAGAGTAAAATGTTGGAGCATTATCATCAATATCACTTATTAGTATTTATTATTTATTAGAGATTAAGTTTTACACATCTCAGTAACAATGTCAATCATACAAAAAAATATATTCATGAGTTTCTTAAGTCAGATTGTGGAGAAATAGGATATTTTTATAGAAATTGTTACTGAGAAGTATAAGTAGTAAGAAGTTGCTCATTTCAAGAAAGATAATGACTGATAAGGAGTCAATGAAATAATATTGTTAGATCATTTAATACATGGTAGTTCTGACTTCAAACATATGACAGAAAAGCTCCTTTATTACCTTATGTGACACTATGTGACAGATGTTCCTTTTATTTTTATTCATTCATTCATTCCATTCTTAAGAATATTTCCTAATGAGAAAATTGGCAAGACAACCTTCGACTAATGAAATATTTGAATGATTTATTTCATTCTTTGAAATTAAAATGGATGAATTATTTGATCACATTGATAGTTTGTTTTTATTATTTTCATAGTTTCAAAATGTGTTATTGTATTCTTGTTTGAATATTTCTTTAATGAAACAAATTAGTTGGGAAAGGATTGTTCTAAAATTTTTTAAATTTTCAGGCATTTTTATATATTGTATATGTGGTATGAATATATCATAGTGAATACGCATATGCAAAAATTTAAGAACTAAAAATATGCCAGGAAATAAAGCCTTAGAAATTACTCATGTAATATTTGATTTGGATGGTTTATTGATTGATACGGAGCCAACTTATACAGAAACTCATACATTTGCTATGAAGCATTACGGAAAAAAATTTACACTGGATTTGAAGTCATTTACAATGGGTATGAAACATGAACCTTCCATCAAAATGTTACTCGATAAGGTTCGTTCTTTACCCTTTCATTTCAATAAATTATAATTGCATTTTATTTTTAAACAAATTTAGGATTTTTGAAAATTTTTTACTTTAGAAATTTTATCCTTCAGCGTTGTCATACATAAAAACAATAATTTTTATTACTGTGTAACTATTCAACCTTTTTCTTATTTTGAATTTTGAAGGTTGGCTTAACAGACAAAGTGAGTGTTAAGGAATACGATAATTTGTACAATCCAATACTTCTCAAAAAGTTACCATATTGTCAAAAGATGCCTGGAGCGTTACGATTGGTTCGACATTTTCATAAACATAATATACCGATGGCAATATGTTCTGGATCCAGTAGTTATTCATTCAAATTTAAAACAATGAATCATAAAGATCTTATCGATTTAATACCTCTGCAGGTGTACTATTAATTTCTCGAATGTACTTTAGCAAATTTTGGAAAAATTTTTTACACCTGTTTAATTTCTCACTAATTTCAAATGCAATGTATTACAAAAATAATTTTCTTTCAGTGACTTTCCGAATAAAAATCGCTAGTCTGACTTCATTAGTTTTTGTCCTATTACGAAATAACCTTTTTTTTTCGTTTTTACTTGAAGGAAGTAATATCGATAACTGATACTTCTTTCATGTTTTGAAAAATTTTTATTTTCGCACTTGCAAAATAATTTAATTTAGATATAATATCGGTATACACGGGAGGGAACAAAGAATTATCTCCCGTGCTGTAATGAATTTTCAGAAAAATTTTCCAAAAACATTAAACTCAAGTTTGTATTCCATGTTCCATGCTAATAAGTATCAATCAGTCATTCAAATTCTAGGTGAAATGCAGTAGCGATCCAGAAATAAAAGAAGGTAAACCATCACCAGAAGCATATCTTGTAACAATGCAAAGATTCCGGAATCCACCAGTTGGACCCAGTAATGTTTTGGTTTTCGAGGATGCTCCAAATGGTGTTTTGGCTGCTATTCGTGCTGGAATGAATGTTGTCATGGTGCCCGATTTGAGGTACGTAAAAGTACCTGATGAAGGGAAGGAGCAAATTGTGGAAGTGCTAAAAAGCTTAGAAGATTTCAGGCCTGAATCAGTAGGCTTACCAGCTTTCGACCATTTGTAACTACAATTATTTTATTTTCTCTTCACTTCAAGCTTTCAATGAAATATTTTTAAAAATGCTATGATTATTATTATGTGCATAGAATTGATAGTGAAATTGTATTAATTGTTTTCATTGAAATTTGTAAATTTTCATAATATATGACACTTCTACTTATATTAGCATTTATCGAATTCAAAACTACGATGATGATTGTATAAATTGACAAATGAGAAAGTTCTTTAGACAAGCTGATCAAATCAATTTCGTTGTTAAATATTTACTTGTTTCTTTCAAATGTAATTGAAAAAATCGTATAACACATTTTAATTTCACTACACACAGCAATAAGTGAAAACGTCATTTAAAAAATAAAATTACACTGTAATTTACCACTTGCACTCTAAATAAGTGCATTTGATAATTTGAAGAAATTTTCAGCAATTAAAATTTCTGAACTTCAAATACTATCTAATTAAATTTGTTTTCTTTTGAATTTTATTTTTTATATCCAGAAAATACAAGCAAAGATTCCAAATTCCTAATTTGTCTTACATATTTACCTATAAAATTAATGATTTCCTGGTTCATGAAGGAATTGCTGGTGATGATTGGAGACGGAAGATGTGAATTAAAAACTTTGGTTTCTGAAAAAAAAAAAGTTTTCATGGGATGTAATTTTTTCGTTTTGAAAAACACATTATGCATAAGTTTTGTAGAAGATTAAATATGATAATATAAGAAAAGTTCGTTATGAGAGTAATTCTACTCTTCATCAGCATTTTTTAGTATTCCAAAATGAGGTCACAAGCTAATAATGATACCTGCTGAACAGGAAATGGAAAAATTAAGATCTGACAAAAAGCTATAAACAAATTCCCTTCTCATTAACCTAATTCTAAGCCTGTTTCAGTATTTGATATATAAGCATCTCTTTCCTGAACTTCCTCATAGCAACCTGAACAGAAGACCTCTTCTAACAAGTACTCAGTAAGTTTCTCAATTACTGTTCTTTCCTTACTAAAATTTAATTATCTGAATTAGTATTTACCTAAGCCATCTTTTCAATCATTTGTTTGACACAATTTGATAACTGAAATACTAATTATCTGTACTGAAGTGATGGTAGCACTACGACTTGCTGCAGTATTACTGTTAGCTCTGTTGACAGTATCGGTGACAGCATCTGCCTGGTGGGATTTTGACTGGCATAACCCATGGCACCAATATCATCACCATCATCATCATGGACACTTCCCGTGGCATCAGCATTTCCATCATCATTCACATCACAGTGGTCATCACTCATTAGGTCATGAAGAATGGAAATGGGATTGAAAACTGAAATTTATTAAATCGTTAATTTTTTTATCTTTGTTTTTTAATTATTGAAAAGAAATAAATTATGTTGGCGCATTTCATGAGTTATTCATATAAAAGTGACTTCTCTGCCGCAAAAATAAATACATTTAATCAGTCAATGATAAGTTATCACTCACTTTTTCCTTTATTAGTCACTATTGAACCACAACATAGAACTATTGTTAAAAACCCATAGTATATAAACATTAATTATCTAACTCATTATTGACATCTCCATAAGTTAATGCAACTATAACCGATTACGATATATCATCCCTTCGATTACCCAGTAAATGTTATCCGAAAGATCTATTCGATGAAGGCAAGAAAAAAATTATGATTATGCTGAAAATTTTCGAATTAAAATTTTCTTGAATGAAGATATTTTACACTCGATTTACTTTCCACGATACAACCCAATATCTGAGTTAGTTATATAACAACAACACGGGGAATTACCCATGCTGCAACTGCACATACGCAGTTGAAATTGAGAACAGAATTCTACATACCCAAAGGTAGAACCGAAATTAAGCAAATATTGAACAAATGTATGGTTTTGCGAGAGATACCATTTAAATTCCCGGCCATGCCGAATCTTCCACAAACTCGAATCACACGTTCTCGAATATTTGAATAAGTTGGATTAGATTATATGAGTCCTTTTTCTATTAAAATTGAGATCGATGGATGGCGCTTTTCACATGTTTCAAACAAGAGCAGTACATTTAGAACTGGTAGAAAATCTATCGAGCGAAATCTTTTTGCACTTATTAAGAAGATTCGTTTGTCCGAAGAGGTTACCATAAATTAATCTTGAGTGATAATGACAACCAATTTCAATTAGTTTTCCAAATCATTATGGAATGATATGGGAAAAAACCATACTGAGAGTTCCATGGGATAAAGAAGTTTATGAAATAAAGACTGGAATAACCAAAAGGACTGTGAGAAAAGCCATGGCAGAAAATTGTAATGAGAAAGGGAATTAATAACAATAAAATAGAAAACATATTAAATACTCGTTCGCTAATTTTGAAGATTGTTTAATCATATGCCCAGTTAATTTCGTTTCACCCAACATTTCCCGCAATTAACGACAATGAACTGGAAGAATTTTCTCGCACAAACCAAATACTAAAGAGAAAATTATTAAATGTTGGTCAAACACTCTCAAGGTTTAGACACATTTTGGGACGCATAGAGAAATGGGTATCTGATTAGTCTTCGAGAAAGAATCTCCGAGAGATGTAGTAGCGAGAGATCTCCGTGAGGATGAAATTGTGTTGGTCAATGAACTAGAAATTTCCCGTGGCATTTGGAAACTGGCCAGATTAGCCAAAAAAACAATATTAAATTTGAAATAGAAATTTTAATTGTCAAAATGAATTAAAACTATGACAAATTAAAAATTTCATTTCGCCACTGAAATACTGTTCAAAACTTAATTATTAAAGTTTGTTCTATGATTTCAATTGTCAAAATGACCACAACGCATATGACCATTTCCGGCACTATGCATATAAAATAATCAACTAAGTTCTATTTATCTATTTTTTTTTTAATGAGTTGATATTTTTTAATAGTGTAAACATTTAATTAAAATGAAATTTGATAAAACTAGGATTTATTTTCTAGTTTACTATACAAAAACTCTTACAAATTGTAGGATTTTCATAACAATCAATATTTAAATTTGGAAATAAAATTAATTTTAAGAATGGATTAAAACTATGAATAATTAAAAATTCTATTAATTAATTTTTTTATTCAATTTTTACTTTTAATTCAATTGTAAATTAATTTCTAAATCTCCAGTTTTTAAAATTTTCTATTTTTTTTTTTTCATAATCCTATTTGAGTAATAGAAAGAATCACTTAATTAATTAAACGGCATTTTTTCTAAATGAAACAAATAACATTTGTTTAAAGGTTAATTATTATTTGAACTAATTCGAAATTTTGAAACCTTTCAGATAAACAAAGAAAAATTGAATCTTGCAAGAAATATCCAAGTTTTCATACAACGTACAGTTGTCAAATGGCTTACATTATTTTACATTTATTATCAACAATTGTATATGACTGTGCTTGGATTTGATAGCGTACCCTTTTTTTTTCGAGAAATTTTGCTAAATACAATTAATAAAATCAATTTCTACTTTAATTTGTTGATATGCTTTGGAAGTTTTTAAAATTATTGAATAAAATAAAATGAAATAATAAAATAATTTATAAATATAGAATGATTAAAATTATGAAGTAAAAATAGCATTTTTTTGTCATTTTTTAAGATAGCCTTTGGCTGCGCAAAATCGCAAGGCTTACCAGCGTCATGGTTAGGTATTTTGAGAAGTATTGATACTGTTTTTGGTATTATTGGTGCATAACTGTATTCTCTTGTCGAGACTCATTTTTCGGCAAGAAAATCCGGATTGATTGGCCTGATTATATCGTTTTAGAAAGTACTTTAATCCGGTTTTATTATGATGATAAATGTGGGAAATTTCAAGGAATTTTATTTTAACTTAGTTTACGGAATTTTTGAGAGTTATTGGTACGTATAGTACACCGTTTATAGTTAAATTGCTCTGCTCAATTTTTTTCTTTTTTTTTGCTGGCCAATAAATACCAACTGTCTAAAATGTACCAATATCGAATTACTAGTCACAGAGTAAGAAAAAAATGAAAATGAAAATCAAGTTAATTTTCAATTTAATTAGGAAATTTCAAATTTTTTTCAATATAACTTTTTTTTCTTCAAGGCTCAATATTTGGCTCATTTGGCATATTTACATTGTTTCTATTTGGTTACCTGGCTTACCATTTGACCCAAAAATTATAGATTGTTCCATTTAATTTTAGAGAAATTACTTTCAGTATTTTATTCATTCGACCAGTGCGTACACAGCAATTTTAATTTAAGTCGAAAATTAAATGAAACAATCTATAATTATTCTCTTTTTTCAACTATTCGATATATTCTCATAATTCAATTTTTTTGTTTTTTGTGGATGAATTTAAATGACAGTTATATCTCTTTTCTTATACCTTTTATTTTACGGCGAAGTTAGAATCTTTTTATAGAAATTATTGAATTCCTATTTAAGTTATTACTAATTGTTGTAGATTTGACGGCAACAATTAAAAGAAAGTTTTGCATTTGTTGGTGATAAAAATGAAATTGAAACTGGCGCAAATGATATTGACTGGTCAACATGGACATCAAATAGACATTCTATTAGCATTTTCACGCTGCTAATAGAGGTAGCAAGATTAGATAGTATGCTAAAATAAAAATGAATTTATTTCAATCATTAAGCTTAACTGTAATGAATTATAAACTTATCCCGGTTAAAAGCTTCCAAATTAGGTAATGATGATTAAACGAAACACCGATTGAATAATTACTGAGTAATGATTGAGTAATTTCACCTTTGTTTTAAGTAAATAATGTTTTATTCATGCAATAATTGTCAACTAACATATATACATTATTTTTTTTATAGTATGAAAATAAAATTTCCAAATCCCTTACAATTAAAAGTTAGGCGATTATATGCAATTAACTACTAGGCTTATATATGGAAGATCAGATTGAAATATGAATTAATTTCAATTGTAAAAAATGAATTAAAACTACGACAAATTAAAAATTTTTATTAATTTCGCTAGTGAAATATTGTTCAAAACCTAATTATTAAAGTTTATCTTTTTATTTATGCTGTCAAATGACCACAATGTATGTGACCAGTTCCCGCACTATGCATATAAAATAATGAACTAAGTTCTAGTAATCTATTTTTTTAATGAGTTGCTATTTTTTAATAGTTTAACACTTAATTAAAATGAAATTTGATAATACTAAAATTTATTTCCAAGTTTAATATACAAAAGCTCTTACAAATTGTAAGATTTTCACAAAAATTAATATGAAATGAAGGAAATTAAAAGAGGAAGGGATGAAGAAATAATTAGTGTCGTAATAAAATTACCACAAAAAAAAATTCTCAATGAACCAGGAAAGATGCTGTGTCCATTGAAAATCGACGATGAAGGAAATTCAGACTCTCAACGAACAGTGCTCGACAAATCAATTCAGAGATCGATAAACATGAACCTGTTGCTTACCTGTGTTCAAACACAGGTATCCAACTTCCTGAAAGCATTCAGCTCATTCAATAAGGAGTGTCGTGAAACTCGAAATAAGTATTGCAAACCTCCAAATAACAAAGTATATCAAATAAAATTGTATTATATCCATAAAACTAAAAGTTGTCTTATTTCATGTAGACCATTTATTTTGTTTTCATCTTCCAAATAGATTGTTTACACGGTATTAGCTTCTTATTTAGTTGATCTCATAGCTATTATTTCGTCATTAATTGTAAATTATGTTTGAATTTACACCATTAACCACTTTGGCTTAACTGACTTCCTTCAAATCAGATTAGCAGCTTTTTGTTAGACCGATTACTCTTTCAGAAGGTCAACCTAATATTATAAATCACATACTTTGTTTACGTATATTGCTTGCTACATAAGGAGGTCATCCTTGTTCAAGAGGATATTGCGTGTTTTTACCAAGAATCAGGAGGGTTCAACTTCAGTTCTCAATAAAGCTATTGTACTATTGCTTCTGCAATTCAAAGCAATTATTATAATTATTATATTCTTCTGTAGCCCCACATATTTACATCTACATCCATCAAATCTTCCCGAGACCAGCAGCCTCTCCCAAAATAATTAAATTTTCAAATTTTCCAAAACTCTTGATAGGCATTAGTGAAAATTTCAAAATAATTAGTTAATGCACTGAATGATTGATTTTGTAAGAGATAATTATTTCTGAACTGAAAAGTAATTCAAATGAAAATTTTTTTTGTCTAAATTTGTTAATTTGATAAGTACTGTGCACCATTTATTACTATGGAACTGCACACCATTCACATACGGAAAGCTTTGTCGAAACAATCAATTGATTCTACCAAAATTTTAATTTTTATCGCATTTTTATTAAATAAAATCAGAAATCTTTTTGCTTCTTTGTACACTTGTTTTGGTGCTTAATTTGCCTTTTATTTCAAAAATTTTTTACATTTTGTTGGCGTTAAGTTCAATGAATGTACTAAGAATTGCAACGACAATAACAAGAAGATCATTCATTTAGATTTGTTTATCAGAAATCACAAAGTCCAAAAGATACCAACGAAACGATATTTAATATGAATCTGTGGAAAAATTTCAATCCCATTTCCATTCTTCATGACCTAATGAGTGATGACCACTGTGATGTGAATGATGATGGAAATGCTGATGCCACGGGAAGTGTCCATGATGATGATGGTGATGATATTGGTGCCATGGGTTATGCCAGTCAAAATCCCACCAGCCAGATGCTGTCACCGATACTGTCAACAGAGCTAACAGTAATACCGCAGCAAGTCGTAGTGCTACCATCACTTCAGTACAGATAATTAGTATTTCAGTCATCAAATTGTGTCAAACAAATGATTGAAAAGATGGTTTAGGTAAATACTAATTCAGATAATTAAATTTTAGTAAGGAAAGAAGAGTAATTGAGAAACTTACTGAGTACTTGTTAGAAGAGGTCTTCTGTTCAGGTTGCTATAAGGAAGTTCAGAAAAGAGATGCTTATATATCAAATACTGAAACAGGCTTAGAATTAGGTTAATGGGAAGGGAATTTGTTTATAGTTCAGATCTTAATTTTTCCATTTCCTGTTCTGCAGGTATCATTATTAGCTTGTGACCTCATTTCAGATATATAAGACAGCTCGCAGTTGATTTATACCATGATATCCTCACTAATTCTTTTCTTTCTCATTGAATTGAAGCAAGGTGGTATCTTTGAATATTCCTTCAATTTTTATGTTTCTTATCGGCAACGTCCATTAATGTTGCAAACATTTCTAAAACTTCTAAATCTTTAAAACTTTTTAAGAGCAAATGGTATCACTAAGATTTGCCACAATATTATTGCTAGCTCTGTTGACAGTATCGGTGACAACATCTGACTGGTGGGACGATGACTGGGATGAACCATGGCATCAGTATCATCACCATCACCATCATGGACACCACCAGTACTCCCATCATCAACACGATGGTCATCATTCATTGAGCCATGAAGGATGAAGCATGAAGGATTCATTGAGCCATGGGACTGATGTGTTTGTTGTCAACGCTGTTCTTTTTCTGTACTTGTCACTTTATACGATGAATGATAAATGATAAAAACTTCTGCATACTCACCAGTCATTTGATTAACTGATAAGAAAAAGAAAAGTAGAATTGCAAATAGGATTAAATTTTCAGCAGCATACTGCAAATAGCAGTTATCGGGTTGATAAAACAAAGATAGTGCTATTTATAGATAATTGAGTATTTAACTATAAAGTTTGAAGTACAAATCTCGCAATCCTCATAATTTCAAATCAGGACATATTTACTACAAATAGTAAAATAATACGAAGTAAAATAATGCTATAAATACTTATTATGATTTCAGTTGTTACTTTTCTTAAAAAATTTTTTCAAGTAATTCTTTGATATTTCGGAGTTCTCACATACTTTACTTTGAAAATCATTTGCAAGTTCCATACTACTTTTAATTTAATTCACACTTAATTCCTTTAATTTAATATCATAAATTGTCTTTAATTAATATTAGTGACAGATAAATGCGAAAAAAAAATTTTTTTAAACTTTCTGTTCAAATGGTTGTATCATTCTTATTAATATGAATAATTATAATTAACTGCTACTTTATTACGAATCTTTTTGGTATTTTACAAAATTTGTCAAAATAACACTAATTGCGCTAATGTTAGCTGAATTGGAGTTAAATTAATGAAATTTAGCATTCAGATCCAGTTTTCACAGCTTGCATTGAAATAAATGATTTTTATTTATCTTAATGAGTTTTGGTTTATTAAGTTATATTTTATTCAATATCAACTGTGTTTATCAGTTTGCACTCAACGAAATGATTTGCAATTTAAACAATCGGTTGCAATTATTATCATCTTAGATAATTATTTGTGAAATTTATAAAAATTACCAAAAAGTAATAGAAAAAAATTGTTTCATTAGAATATGCTGAAGACGAACTCGATACTACAGGTACAACAGGTGCTGGTGAAACAGCTGGAATCCAATTGCAATTAGCGTTGCATAGATTGGCTTCATTACAGATTAATGTATAGAAATGATTTCCAAGCATATCGGTGCTAGAAATTAATGACATTATCAGGTAAAGTTATAAATTTAAACTCATTCATTTATTGTTACATTCATTATCTTTCAGTATTTATCATTTGAACAAATTGTTCAAACATTCTCAAATATTTTTTCATAGTTTTTTTTTTTTTTTTATCAAATCATTGATTCTATTATAATAACTACTTTGTTAATTTTTTTTTCGAACTATTAAATTTTAAAAAGCATACCTGATGACACACTTGTTAATTTCAGTGACACTGTTACCATCCGGTGTTTTAGCAAGAGGAATATCAATGCATTGCTTATTGTAATGCAGAGTACGTACACTATTCATTGAAACATTCAACATTTCTGTAATTTGATTTCAATATTGTAGCAATACATAAATCACTTTCCAATTCATTTTTAATTTTCATTTGTTATTTCTTAAATTTTATTGCTTCAGTTTATTCTCATCTAATTATACACATTTTCAAAGTAAACAATTAGCATGTAAATAATGGAATTGTTATCAAATTATAGTCAAAATTACTGGAGAATTAGCAATGGAATCAAAATTTCATTTAAAAAACTTGCGGAAAAAGCAGTATCCGCCATGATTAGTCATACAGGTATTACTATAGCAATCCGTTCCAAAATTATTACATTTGAAGCATTCTAACACATCTCTACGGGTTGCTGAAATTTCCAACTTGTAATGATTAAATATCATTTAATTCTTCATATTTTATTTGCATCAATTTTTGTTTATTTTTTTTACTCAAATAAATTTACTCATAACAAACAAAGTGTACTCAATCTGAAAACTTTCAGCGCTTCACGTTATCTTCAGTTAATGATTAAACAAACGATGACATTATTTAAAGAAGGAAATTCTAACGTGTAACTGGATTGACTGTAAACGTGGACCGTTGTGAATCGCAATCCACGTTGCAGTAATTACGGCTGTTGCATAAATAAGTTCTATACTTCATATTAGTGTTTGGATCAATTCTGAAACATTTCAAAATGAAACATAAATTTGCTCTTATTGCTTGCTCAATATACCTAAAAAATTTTCTGATTGGTTTTTTTTTAAAAAAAAAGAAAAAAAAAATAAAGAATACCATCAGTCTTAATTTCTTTTTACAATTTCAAGAAATGGTTGATTAATCGTTTGGTATCATCAATTATCAAAGAAACAAGTGATTTAAAGATTTTTCCATTTTTATTCAAATTCAGTTCGTTTTGCTTCTCTCATCTGCTCAACATAAACAAACGATGAAGTATTGTCTTTATCTTCTAAACTGTGAATTTATAGTAAAGTTGTTACGTTTCAATACACTGCCCAATTTGTCCTGTATGAATTTGACCAACTGTGACAACATTCATATCCAAACAAGATCGTATTGTCCTTACGATATTACCATTAGCACTGATTATTTGCTCTTAAAATATAATCACAATTGAAGTTTCACTTCGACTAAAATTAAAATTCAACCTGCAATTATTCCTTTCTTTTCTTCTAGCAAATCTTTTTTCTGCAGATGTTTGAGAATTGCCTTCAAAATTTCACAATCTACTGTAAAATTAATTTTACTTTAATGATTGAAAAGAAAAAGAAAACAAACGATAAACGCAAAAACTATTAGAAGTGGTGCTGCAGCCATTTCCATCACATGAACCAAACTGTGAATTACACGAATAACAAAGTAATTCTTTGCAATCTGAAAAAGATTGTTTATAATTAAGAAAAAGAAAGAATGACAGCAAAGTTATTTAACCTATCAAAACCAATGAAATTTCGGACATTTGAAATTTTCGTTCATTAAATAACTGAAAAAAATTTAAGGAACGATTGTAGAAATGCTTAAAATCTCATAAACTTTAATGAGGAAATATTATTTACTACTATTTATTATTACTATTATCGCTGATCGTTACAATTATTTAAAAGAAAATTAAAATGTACCTGCAGTAAGTGAGACAAATATAATTGTAAACAATGAATTCAACAAGAATGGCATCTTATTATTCAAGCATTTGAGGAGAATTTGAAAATTTTCTAAAATAAACGAATAATCCTTTTCCTTCTTCTTCCACTCTTTTTTGAACAAACTGATCATCGCAATATATGCATAATATATTTGTTAAGAAGATTTTTCTAATCATCCTTCTTCCTCTCCCCTTTCTCGCTTCTCCAGCGCTCTTCCCGCTTCATACTTCATTTGCTTATATTTGCAAAAACGATCCGTCATTACTCACTTTGTAAACAACAATTCCGCATCATCCGTAAGTAATGCATATGATAAATAATTCCATCTTTCTAGATGTGCTATATTTTAATAAGTGCTAAAATAGCTTTGTGTTAATGCTACAAAAATATTCTAATATGTACGATAGATTTAATTTTGATAATATTTTAGCAAAACAAATTTAATACATGTTAATACAAGGAATTTTTATAAAATTTAAATGATTGTTAAGAGAGCGATTGATTGAAATCCCAAATGCTTCAATCAACAGTAGAAGTCATTAGTGCAAGTGTTGGTTTATTTGAATTTATGGTAATGGAATAAATCCACAATTTAGGATTAGGCAAAAAAAGTAAACAATGTATGACAATGTATGAATGATTCATTCTTAATGTTTCGTTTAATTGCTACGAAAATTTTTTATAAATTGCTTTTATAAATAATGATAATGTATCTTGAAATCATATGTTATCTAATATTTGTTCAACATTTACTCAAAATTCAAATTTAAAAAACAAATTTTTGAACTTATCTAGAGAATCAAGAAATTGAATTCTTGCATGTGAATTATTTAGTTCAGTGGACATCCAAAATATTTGGTCATTTATTTAAACTTCTCAATTAGCTGTCGCTTATTGATATAGTAATAAGATGTTTTTGAAACAAACAATTTGAATAGAGAAAACATGTCGTAAAAATAAAAGATTTTTAGTTGGATCAACAGATTATCTGATTTTGTTTTTTTGTTTTTCATTTGAATTATTTGTGTAGTGACGATTTCTTGTTTATCTAATAACTTTGGTTAAACACTTAATTCCTACATTTTGATACTGAAAAACAATTTTGCTTGAAAAATAGTCAGTCCCTGTTCTTCAGAGATTAATAGTCTTGTTTTCAGTGCATTCACTTATATTTCGTAAATATTTGAAAAAAAGGAATTTTTGCAAACTTGTCTTTTTTTCTTTGTAACTCTTTTTTTCCATTGCTGAATACTTTCTAATAATTTCTTTTATTACTTTTCGGAATTTCCTTTTCATCCTCTAATAACTTATAACCTAAGCTTATAATCCAAGAATACTTTTAGTAAAACATTTACATTTCTCAAGAGAAATTGAATTGGTTTTTTTTGATCCATCTTTTTTTGTTTATTCAGTGTAAGAGTAGCCGCATTAGAATTTTATAATTATTAAAGTAATTAATCCCTGAAGTCTTTGAGAAATACCGATGAGAATTTATGAAAATGACTGCATAATTTCTTATCTGTATTTATCAAATCACTGAATACCTTTCCATTTGTTATGATAATATCAATATGTGATTGAAGATGTCAGATTTTATGGATGATTTATTTAAAGGAGAAGCCAGGAAACGAAAGATTTCTTTTTAATGATTTCTTTCGTATTAATATCTGATATATTTGATCAAAACTTATATGTTTATTCAAAGTGTAATAAATATATGCTATCTTTATGTTTCAATTTAAAACATATTCCACCCGCAATTAATTGATAAACATAGAAATAAAATTAATAATTAATTAAAATAACTAATAAGCAGTAGCAGCATTATTTGCACCAGCAATAACAACTAATATAATTGTCTCGTTATTAAACATATTCATTGACTTGCTTATTATTCAGAATACGAGAAAATGTGTTTTTATTTTTGAGTTAATTGCATTAGAATGAAATTTGATAGTTTAAATAATATCATTCTTCATTAAATGGTAATAGATATGGATGATGAAACTCATCATGTCTGTCGAGACTCATCATGTCCTCATAACAGGTACTGGGTATCCATACTTTACTACATTTACCCTGTACTGCACCATTTTTCGTTCTAATTATGCTACCATAATCATCTGGTATTTTCGTACAAGAAAGTTCAACGAATTTTATTGGTAGGCGATCTGAAATCAAATAAAAAACAAAAATCGCTTATAGAAGTATGCTAGTAATAATTACATTTCTTTTATGTATGAAAGAAGTTTCAATTTTTGTACATTTAATAATATTACATAATAAATTTTTATTTTATTGAATTTTTTTTTATTAAAACATCATTTTTTCAAAATTTAAATTGAATAAAAACTCGAAAAAAAATTCATTGATATCTGATATAATTGACCCTATGAAAGCATTCAAATTATAAAAATAATTGGATGTTTGATTAAGTTTTAAATCAAAGGGAGCTTAGAATTTTAATTAAAGTTCTAGGAAATTAATCTTATCTCACCATTTCATGAATTAAGCTAGAAAGCCAGTAATCATAAAAGCTAGTTGATTTAAAAATATTTAGGATTGATATACCATCTGAATTTGGTATAATCAGCGATGATTGTTCAATTTCTGATTTAACTGTAACTTTGTACGACGTATTCTCTGGATTAGATGGTTCACCATTCAGTAATTGGCTCAACTGTTTGATGTATCGAATGGCTTCACGTAACGTAGAGGCTTTACTCATTTTTCTGTCATGTGACAGCCATGGCAAAAGGTGGCGTAATTTGTCAAAAGCTTCATTAATACTAAAATTTAATCTGATTAAAATTTTTTATATTTAAAAAGACAGTTTTCATTTATTAAATTTGACAGACTGGAATTTTAGTATCTAGCAAATAAAAAATTCAGAATATATCTATCATCAAAGAAATTTAATTATTCTATCTTCTCACCTGTACATTCGCTTTCGTTCACGTTCATTTGCTGCCTTACGTTTCAATTCATAAAACAAAACATTTTGTTCTCTTCGTTTCCTTGGTCGTTTCTGTTTCCCACTTTTTGCGCAATATTGTTGCGACATGGAGAAAAATTGAAAGCTCACAACAGCGATTTCTTTATTGAAGGGAATACTTAATGAGTCACTTTACTGAAGCGAATTAAAAATAAATCGAAAATAAATAACTTTCGGTCTTTGTTCTTTGAATGAGAAAATTAAACTCATCCAATTTCTTTTTTCTAAAGTACAACTTGAAAAAATTAAGATAATATTCAAAATAACACATAAATGTTTAGACAATAAAAATCGACTAAAATTTTTTCAAAACTGTATTTGTTTGAAAAAGTCGGTAGTTTCAGTTGCAGTGATTAGATGGAATGATTATAAAGTACTTTAATAATTGTCTTATTTTTTGATCAAAAATAATGTAAGTTTTGTATATACAAAATATTCTGAGAACGAGTTACACAAGGGTAAAATATTACTTCGGGGAATATATCAGTTAAAATTGTGAAAATGAAATCGTCGCAAACTTGATGGAAAAGTTAATAAGCGACCTTGCAGTAATTTAAATTGTGCAGGTGTTTCTCCGTGAATAAAACAGCGAATATAACAATTACTTTCAAAATATCTTTTTGTAAAATAGAAAAAATTCATATGAAAAAAAGTAGAAAGTTATAAATAGGTGATGAATTTCACAAAAATGAATAAAAACAGCGAATATAACGATTACTTTCGAAATATATGGATTTTCAGAATGAAACTTCTCAAACGTATATATGTACAGACATATACAAAAGGAAGTATAAATTGTGGACTAATAACCAAATAATTTGGGGTTAAGGTTACTTGCTTAAGCGATTACTTATGCTAAAAGATTAATATGACCAGATGGTATATAGATAAGGTTACCATGAATGTGTAAGTATACATCGTTGATAGCACTGTTCTTGTCTGCCTAATTTGAAAGCATAAATTTATGAAATGAAATACTAATACTAAGAATAACAGTTTGCTTAGTCATTTAACTAATTACTCTGTTATTTCTCAATTGATTTATTTACTTACTGATTGTATACCTTTTGCTTAGTTAATACTTTTTTAATAGTAGAGATATTTACAAAAGAGAAAATGAGCTACTTTATCAATTAAGCAATTAACTGACTTAATGAATATTATAGCTGTTTGTTTGGTGATTTGATTCCTATTACTATTTTCTATTACATTTCTTATGTTTACATTGGAAGGAGGGCAAGTTGCAAGAGGAGCAAGGAGAAATGGATTAGAATATTCATGCAAAATGAGTTACATTAGAGTGTAAATGACTAGCACTTCACACTTTCTCTGTCCATTAATTTCGATTTTGATTAATTGGGATTTGCTGGAAAAAAAAAATGACAATTATATGTTAAGATAGTAACGGGTCATTAATTGTTTACAAATTCTTTACATTGATTCTTTACAAATATTATAGCTGTTTGTTTGATGATTTGATTCCTACTACTATTTTTGAAAACGAATGGCATATTCGCGGAAAATTTTCAAGTATGATTACTAACTGGTCGTATTTTAAGATTTATGAATATTTAAACATAAAATAATCTAATTCAGCCTTAAGTAGTTTAATGCTTCAAACTTTATTATTTCATCAATAATTATTTTATCAATTAACAATATAAGTATATTGTTTTATCAGTAATAATCTAAAGATCTTGAATTGCAGAAATGACATTTATTCATACAGAGAAATAAAAATGAAACAACATGAGAATTAGAAGCAAAAATTTTTCTTTTGCTTCGGACACAATATTGACTAATGTTTTGAACTTATTAAAAGCAATATATTGCCTCAGAGTATCGTTGCAAGGCTTTGATATTCAGGTTGTCACTTCCAACTCATTCATTTGAATTTATGACACATAAAAGATTAAAAAAAAACCCTTTTATTTTTCAGCAAAATTGCAACCATACAAAAATAATTAGTCAAATTAGTGTGATGTAAAAAATTCAGTATTTGATTGCGAGATTTTGACATAACGGAAATTTTCAATAAGTTAGAAAGAAATCTCTTAAATGTAGAAAACACAAGTTAGTAAAAATAATTTTGTCCGCACATAAAATAGGTAATGCAATGAATTCGAGCAATAATATGACAAAGAATTCTAATTAAAATGTTGACATGAAGGATTGAACCAGCAATTGCACTTATCCAAAATACATCATATGAACTCTCTGGAAGGAATTGCGTCAATTGAAGTGGATCCATTCATTTAAACGAACGACCATCCCTCATCAGCTAATACCAATGTATTTCAAGGGTCCTTCTTACTCAAACTGTAAGCAGCAATTAACCAATTAGGTTACATCGGTAATAAGTGGTAGAACATTCTCCTCTATTACGAAAAAAAGTGAGTCAAATTTTCATGGACAAAATTTGTTATATTGAAATCAAAACAAAGGAAGAACATGGAATCTTTTCTATAATTTTCTTGTTTCCCTTAACTAAACCCTTGAAGTGCATCAGCAATCAGTAAAAAAAAAAAAATAATCATGAAAATCTTTAGTTTACAGTCATTATGCCTGAAAAATATGAAGACATGATAAGAATTCAAGAAATGCAAAACGGTAAATCAATGCAAGCAATCAGTATATGCATGCACACAATATGCCCATTATGTAATACTTAATCCGGGAAGGATTAAATTGTGTTACAACTAAATAGCAGTTGACACAATCTATTAACAGATCTTAATTGAGTAGATTAGTGCAATTCGTTCTCATTTTATATTGAAATATTCCTTCTTCCCATTTTATCGTTGAATCTAATGATTTATAATCGTTAAGAAGGGAAAAAAAAAGAGGGTTAACTTCCAGCATCTTTTGATAAGACACATAAATAAATTATGATCTCATCCATTCAAATTCTTACTTAGCTTCACTTACACTTTCTAAAATTTCTCAAACTCAAATTTTTTGCAAAAAGGATTCCCACACAATTCTTCAGGCTCAATACCTTTTAACGTTCATCTTCAGTTCTCCTCAATTTTCTCGTTGTTTTCATTGTATCGTGCAGTAGATTCGAAAGCAAATTGACGAATGATTAAAACAAATTTTCAAACTGTAGCAAGATTTACTTATGCACATACAATTAACAATGGAATAATAAAGTACTAAATTATGGCACATCCTACAAATGACTGAATATAACTGGGACCAGACGAATCTCAACGCTTACAGATAGAACATTTTTTTAAAAATATGACTGATGGACAAATCTTATCATTTGAAGTTCTTTGCAAATAATACAAAATACTTGAATTTACTTTTCTTTCTTCGACTGTTCATTCATGAACTGTTCTTTTTCGCCTTTTGTCATGTTTGATTTGCATTCTTCATATAAATTAATGAGATCAAATGCAAGAATGCAGTTCTCCTGGAAGAATAAATTTGCAAATTACAGACAATAGAAGCAATTTTATCAAAACATGGAAATTTTCGAATTGATTGAATGAACTTTGCTTGAACTGCTAAAAATTTATCCTACTTTAGTAAAAACGAAAGGCACTGCACGCCGGTTATATACTGTAGGTCGTCGTTGTGCTTCTTTACCTTGTTTGAATAACGAAATCTGCAAAAATGAGTAAAACGATATTTTTCGAAATAAAAACAAGTACACCTTCGATTCCAACATTTCCACTTTTTAAGGATTTGAAATCAAGTCCAAAGCAATATACCGTCGGTAACTGTCTACTGGTTGGATGTATATTGATACGGAACCTGTTCGCTTCCTGTGACCATTTTCCCACATCTAATTTCGCAAATTTTAGATTTGGCAAATGGAACCTTAAAAAATATCATAAAAATTTTGTGATCAAAAAGTCATATTAACATTTTAATTCTAAAAACTACAAAAATTCGGATGAATTCGAATTTTTGTAATTTTTATAGGATTAATTCAAAAAGGAAATTATTTACCTGTCGCTCAACTCGGCAAAAACGTGAGAAACGTGTTTACAATCTGGTGACCAGGAAGTATAAAAATAAACTAGCCAAATTATTTTCGGGTTCCGTTGAATTTCCTCCTGAAAAAGTCATATTTCATCAAAAAACTTGTTTAATATATTAAAAAAAAAATGTCTAAACTTACATATAACTCTGTGTTGTTATAAATAAGTGTTCTTTCTGATTCTGCACAAACTGGTTCTGGATAGAAAACGGAATGTACTGCAAAAATAGCAATAAAAAAAGCTATGGGTTCTTCATAATTTTATAGGATTAATTCAAGTAAATGAATTCTGAAAAATGATAAACACTAATTGGAATAAAAAATTTGGCAATTACTCTCTTCCAGTAATTATTTGCTCATACTTTCCTCCACCTTTTCCTTGATCAGTTGAAGATCATGCATCAACGAGTAAGCAAACAACTTCAAGTTCTGTAGTTTATTTAGACAAAAATGAACATTCTTTTGTAACTGATCTCATATATACTGATATTAAGCATCTGCTTATATGGAAATTTTAAAACCCAAGAAATAAACTTACTGAGACAAACACAGATGTAGACAACACCAGCAATAAGATCAGCTCGTAAAAATAAGAAAATATTGGCTAATTTACAAAAGAGAAACATATTCGCGAGACAGTGCATCCAGTTTGCTGCTTTCCGATTCTTATAAAATACCATAATAGCAAGGAATATCATAATTTCATGTTCTCTCTATAACGGATGAGTAACAGAAATGATTTAATATTTGAGTGAAAGATTGAACTGAATTATTAGGTATATTTGACGTTATATTTATTACATCTAACTAAACATATATATATATATATATTTATTTATTTATTTATTTATTTCATGAGCTGCCAACAAATTCAATTCAGTGAATGAGATTCGAAAAATGCGTATTTACGGCAGCCGACGAAGTTTATGAACTCAAAATAGCTGATATACACGATAAAAAACATAACACTAGACCGAAATACATAGGGATCTTGGATAAAAACACTAAATCCACCACAGATCTTGCATAAAATGCGATGAGAACGGATGAACTAGTGCGATTTGCAGAATGCTTATTTAAAAAAGTTGGAAAAATGAAAAACTTGGAAACAAACTTACTCGATCAAGGCCACATTCATCAAAAACGAGAGCACACACGCCAACTGTAATTTTTAAAACGAAAAAAGTAAATGACAGTATAATGCCACCGATATAATAACCCGTTGCTAATTTCTTTACTTCTATTAGCGCTTTAGCAAATTGCATATCGAATTACTGAAGGCTAAAATTTGTGAAACTTCTTTGAGAAAGACAACTGAAAGAAGTCAAAAATATGTAGGCAATTGCAGAGTGTTTACAACATCTGAAATGAGATGGAAAGATTATTATTCGAACAATTCAGATAAATATAAAAAACAGAAATAACATTTCTGCATGTGTGTATGATATAAGATCATTGATGACAAAGAAGCGATACATCTTAAGAACTTACTAAGACAACATTTGACCGTTCAACATAACACTTCAAAACAATATGGAACTCACTCCATTAACAGCAACAATCAAAATAAAAGTCAAAATTTAAAAAGACTTTTCAGCCCACTCGTCACCATCCACTCATTCAACTTTTCGGCCCACTCGTCACCATCCACTCATTCAACTTTTCGGCCCACTCGTCACCATTCACTCATTCAACTTTTCGGCCCACTCGTCACCATCCACTCATTCAATCACTTCCGGACAACACTTCACCAACCAGCAAAAACAGTGCCATCTCAAATTTCCGCCTTTGTATCTAATCCAGTAATCATGTGGCACCGTTATGAAAATTTTTGGTTCTGTCTGTTTTAAATACTCTTCTATATTTCTATTTCTCTGAACATCTATCTACGCGCAGTTATGGAAGAATGCAAATGTTGCATGATAAGATAAAATGAAATATATGATATGTAAACACCGATCACATGATAATCATTTTTTAGCGTGAACATCTAACTTTGCCAGAGAGATATTGAAATATTTAATTTTGAATGGAAATTGGATCAATTAGTGTTGGTTGAATGATTAATAGGTGCACCTTCCTGTGATATAGTTAGCAGATGTGATTGATAAAATACTAATTGTGATAAATTACATTGCTTGAATTCTGAAATCTGATGATAGTTCAGAATCTTGCACTTTTGAATTTAATAATTTAAATTGCTTTGAACTGAAAAACTTTGAAATGCTACAAAAAATTCAAGAAAAATTAATAGTTCAAAAGCAATGTTAACTGAAAGAAATTAAATAATTTCAGCGCATACATTAATAAGCAAAATTAGTTTCATGTTAATGATGTAAATTTAATGAAAGACTTTCAAAAAAAGAAAAAATTACAAATTTTCATAGCGATGGATTTAAATCGATTAATTGATAGAGAAAATCTGCATAAAAATTGGTAGAAATTGATTTGAAACTATGAAAAGTACCAATAGAACGTAAAAAGAGGTGGAATGGAACAGCTTTTTCTTCATGTTTTTCATTGTTTATTTCAATTTTGAATAAAATGAGAAATCGATACGATAATTTGAAAACTGAAGAGAAAAGACCTCGGAAAATTTTCGTGGTAAAAATATCGAAAAATGCACATCGTCATTGCATGCAGCTATGAAATTAATTAAATACATGAGAAATGGAAATAAAATACTCGGAAAGCACGCAAGAAAGAAACTATTTAGAGTTACAAGTTGACTTAAAAATAGAAGAATTCCAAAATTTTTAACAAGTGGAAACAAGCAATTAATGAAATACAAAACTGGAAAATGTGTAACAAATAAAATCTAGAAAATTAAAGGTGTAAAGAACTTTAAAAATGGGGTAAAAGGCTCGAAAATGCAGAAAAAATTGTTGAAGATGTTAATGATTAAAATGATAGTGATAATTTGGAATATGAAAAATGGAAATAGAGAAACTGAATTCGCAAAAAATCCAAAAACGGTATGAAACATTTAAAAAAAAATAGGAAGGTAAATTGTTTAAATAACAACTCAAAAGGATAATAAAAACAGCAGAAAATTGATAAAATTCAAGAAGAAATCTAAAAATTCCACAAATGTCATGATTCAAAATTAGAAATTGAAATAGAAAATTCATTTTTTTTTGAAATGTCCGGAAGTTAATCTAAAGTTTGAGAAACTTAAAACTTATTCAGAAACTCCGGAATTTGACAAATGAAAGCAGGAAATTTAAGAGAGAAAAGAAATCCAAAAAACTAAAAAGTTAAGTGTCTAAAATTCAAAAGTTTAAAAATTCTAAATTGGAAAAATTTTAGCTCAGATTAAAGAATTTAAGCTTAAAGAATGCTCAACTTCATTTATTTTAGTGCACGAAAATAAACATTAAGGGAAAATATCAGTTTATTTTACAATAGATGACTACCCAGCTACCAAATTGGATACTAACTCATGACACATGTAAAAAGAGCATACAATGAACAATGATGTCACCGTGACAGAAACTTTTCAAAAATTTTCGAATTTAACCAAAAAGAAGATTGCATAAATAATGTATAAAAAAGCCAAAAGGAAGACTCCATATGACATAAGCACAGTTAATTGAATTGCAACCGAAATAACAAAAATATTAAATATTCAAATACATTTAAACTTGAAATATTACAAACTCAATTAAAACACAAGTTGATACCCGATCTGTAAAAGAAACTTCAGCAATAAATAAATAGAATTAAGCAAGATGAAAACGAACAACATAAAAAAGTTTTAAAACAAAGGAAATGAAAATAATTAATGTGAATAATAAAGTATTTAGAACATTAAAATTTCAATCCGTCATTGACCACGCCATTGAAATTGAAAAATGGGCAATTGAGTTCAAATTGGTGCAGATTTTCTGAAATTTTCACTTAGAAATTTTCAAGTTTTAACAACAACATTATCAATGATAACATATTGCCAGTGATGGCTGTCAGTTTTATAAATTGTTCGTTTATGTAAATGTTAATTAATGTATCAATTTTAATTCGATTTTCAATTTTAAATTAGTTTTTATTTGGTGTGACAAAGACACTCAGTAATAAACAATCAGAACAGCGTAACAAAGTTTCAAGAAGTTGAAGGCTGTTGCAAAGCAGAGAAAGCTTCTGCTTTGCAGAAAAAAATTTTAAAAAGCGTAAAAGTATCGGACCATTTGGTAATTTGAATTTTTGCATTCATTTCCTTTATGTTCATTCTTCACTATTCTCATGAATGGTTGGTTAATTAAGAATTTTTATTTTTCTTAAGATTATTAGTGTAAAAGAAGAAAAGACAAAGGAAGCACATTTCCTTCGTGTCTGTATATTTTTCGATTATCAAGCCATCTATCATTTAAAGCGCCGACACTTAAAAATTTACATAAAAGTCAAATAAACGCATATTCATACACTTCATTTACTTGGGGGTGCTGCCCACTCGTTCATTTTTTGGTAAATGTCATTGTAAAATGGCCAGTAATCCTCAGGAACGATATTTGTTGAGCTAGTGAGTGCAAAGTAGTGCTCATTCATATAGTACATATGCAAATTTCGAGGAATATTTATAATAGATGCAAAATTGAGATATAATTTACGCTCAATCGTATGATCTAATGACTGGAGTCATTCAAATCGACTAATTTAATATTTAATTTATATATCACTAATCAGTTGCAGACTTCCTCCATAGTCTAATTTCCACGATGACATTTGTTTTTTCTTTTGGGTCGCTCTTCTAGCAGCGATAGTATGCATCGACAATGATAAGTCTAATTTGATTAATCGTTTTATAATCCAGCCAGATATTTGTTTTTCTCTCTAATTTCAATCTTTTCCTTTCAAAACATTTCATCAGAATGAAAACAAGGAAATCTCATTGTGATTTGCAATCATTCCAATAATCGATTCTCCTCTTTAATTTGCAGGAAGAATTCATTGTTTAAAAAAGGAATAAACAAATTACAAAGGAAATAATGCAAAAATATAATAGGAAAAGTTGCAATGTTTCCGATTCGCTACAACATTATTCGAAAAATGAATCAAAATTAACGGGCAAAAGCAAAATAAATTAAAATAAAAGATAATTAGCACTATATTATATTGTAAGCATAACATTATAAACTAACGTATGTGATTCTTAATATACATCTTTTAATGGTTCTTAATATCCTTATTTTGAAATACTTCAAAGAAGACGTCAGGAAAAATGAGAAATTTCTGGGATACGATCGTAAAAAATTAGAAATACTCAAGAAAGGCAGCGAAAGATGATTTATTTTGGCAAAAGAAGGTTGTTCCACATTGTTATAGGATGACATCACATTAAATTAATCTAGTTAAAACTCGAAATTCCAAAAGTATTTGTGTAACTGGATGAAAAAAATAATTATAATTAGTATACTATATAAAGTATTTCGTATATCATTTTCTTCTTATATCGATCTTTACTTTCCATAGATCTGCCCATCATTGATATTACCTATATTTTATTAAGTTTGGAAAATGTCTTTTTTTCGAAATGTTGTAACTCTATGTCCAAATTTATGTTGTATTCCTAACTTTTCTATCATATTTGCTTAGAAAATGATGGCATAATAATGAATCAAATCACAACTTCGATTCAAAGTTTTCTTCTTCTTTCTTGGAAAAGACATCTTTCTAAACTAAAAATGTGTTTATTGTGTGGGTTTGGCAGATTCCTGGTAGTAGTTGCTCATTATGTGACAGTTATCTGTTATGTTATTTTTTGGAATGTCGTATGTCTACGGATGCAGTATATATATGTCAGCAATGATAAATCTAAATATCAAACAACCTTATTTCATAAATTTAGTGATTCTCGACAAATTTGACACTCTGATTCATCACTGTATAACTCTATTAATCATCTCAAAATACTTATTATAAATAACTTTTTCCCGCTAAAATATTTAAAATGAAACGCGGAATTACAATTATAATTTGCAAAGATTTCATTATTGCGCCAATTGATTAATCTGTAAAAAAAGTTCACTGTGAATGACATGTCACTGTGAACTGTTTTTGTTTTTTTTCGACTGCTACTATTAATAATTTATCCAATCTTGAAATCCTTGGTGTATAAAAAATTTGAACTCGAAGTATTTGAGGTCACAAACTACACCAGCTGATAATTTTAGTCCATTTAAATGAATAATTGTTTCGATTATCATCGGATAAATTAATGATAGTTAAAAATAGAGCCAAGCAAGCGGTATTTGTTTTCTGTTTTTTTTTT